TTTGGCATGTTGGAAGCTTTCTAAAACCTCCCCCGTAAGGGCCTTGTAAACCTCACCATTAAAGTCCCTAGGTGGAGTGGGTGGTCTATCGACCTTCAATTCAAACAATTTACTAAAATCTTTCAAAGAACATCTCACATCATTGTTTAACAAACGAAATTGAACATGAAAATCATTTGATTTTGATTTCGATTTTATCAAAATAAAAGTAGAAATAAACTCTACCGTTAGATAATGATAAGTGTCACAATGCATATCAAAGAAACTAGTCATGCCAATACCCTTAAACAATTTCTCTACTTGTTTATCTATTCCCATAGTAATCAAAGTAGGATGATGAACAAAACGGGTAGTGATTACCTACCTAGGGATGAGATTGAGCATCCTTTGCTTTTGTTCTTGGCTAGTAACCACCACCTCCTCCCATCCATTGATTTGGAGCTCCGGGTCAACCATGGGTGCCATTGGTTGCTCTCCTCTTTGTCCTCTTGATCTTTTTGAAGCCATTAGAAGTTAATTTTAGAAAAACTTGAGATTTCTCTCTCTAGAGTTTTCTAAAAGATTGAGAAAATAAAGAGAAATTAGGTGGGAAATGTAAAGGAAGGTGAGAGGATTCAAAATATGGTAAAATTTTTGAGGTTTGATGAGAAAATTGGAAGAGATCTTGATTGGAATATGAAGTTGAAGGTTTATAAATGGAGTGTAGAGAGAGAAAGTGAAGATAGAAGAGATGAAAGAAAGAAGAAAGTGAAAGAAAGAAGGGGAAAAAGAGTTTGTGAAATCCGGGTAAAAACACGCACCCGATCGGGCGTCTATTTGCCTGATCGGGCGACCTTCTGGATTTTTGGATCCTCATTTGCGCGCCCGAACTTAGCCTTGATCTTCATCTCGATGGCTCGCCCGATCAGGCAATCTTCGCCCGGGATTTCTTTTGGATTTAACTTGATTTCGCCAAAAATGTGCCCGATCGGGCACTCTCGCCCGATTGGGCGAGATTTCTTAAGTTTCTTTCCTTCGCTTGCGCGCCCGGTCAGGCGACTACGCCCGATCGGGCGAAATTGCAGCTCGATTTTCACCAACATACACGCCCAGTCGGGCGGCTATACCCAATCGGGCAAGAAATTTGATTTTTCTCGACTTCAGTTGCGCTGGCGAGCCCTGCCCGATCCGGCCACTAGCCAGTCCGAGCTTGTGATTTTTCTTTGACTATTTCTCTTTAAATCTCCCTACTTCATGACTCAAAACCTGTACAACTTACTTCACACATGTAAAATTTGCACTCTCCTCACCTCTCTATAAAAATAAATAAAATAAAAGCTAGACTAGAAAGCATAATATACGGGTTGACTCTCTCAAAGCGCTGGTTTATGAAGGTCCCGCACGACCTTTTGTACCTTAGTTCTAAGATGAGAGTGGAGTTGGGTGGATTTCATCCATCACTCTAACGGTAGCTCCTTCATGATACACCTTTAATCGTTGACCATTGACCTTGAATTCTTCACGTTTGTCATTTAATTGCTCAACCGAACCAAATTTATTCACCTTAGTGATAGTAAAGGGACCCGACCACCTAGACTTTAGCTTCCCTAGGAAGAGCTTAAGGGAAGCTAAGTTCTAGAGTTAAAGAGTAGAACCTTGTCTCCCGGTGCGAATCTCTTAGTAGGATCTTCTTGTCGTGCCACTTCTTGGTCTTCTCCTTGTATATTTGCGCACTGTCATAAGCGGACAATCTAAACTCATCCAACTCATTGAGTTGGAGAAGTCTTTTCTCACCCGCAACCTTAGAATCCATATTAAGCTCCTTGATTGCCCAAAAAGCTTTGTACTCCAATTCCACGGGAATATGACTTGCTTTACCGTACTAGTCTATAAGGAGAGGTGTCAATTGGTGTTTTGAATGCGGTCCTGTACGCCCAAAGTGTGTCATCAAGCTTCATACTCCAATCCTTTCTTGACTTAGCTACCACTTTTTCTAAAATCAACTTGATTTCTCGATTAGAGATCTCAACTTGACCACTTGTTTGAGGATGGTAACTAAGCCCGGTCCTGTGGTAGACTCCATACTTCTTTAGAAGGTTGTCCAACTGTCCTTCATGGAAGTGAGAACCACCATCACTAATGATAGCTCGTGGGACACCAAATCTAGGAAAAATGGTCTTCTTGAAAATCAAAAGTAATTCCTAAGACCACTAACTAATAGAAAGGGAAGTAGGGTCGAATCCACAGGGAAACAACGTTTTTCTATTCCTAATCAATTAAAATAATCTAAATTATCAAGAGACAAATAGGGTTGAATGAATTAAACTAAGGGAGAAATCAATAATAAAAGGCTTAGGGTCACAGGTTCACCAATAAATAATTAATATTCTGTGATAAAACATAACAATCAACAATTAATATTGTAAACATAACATGATTAACAGGCTCTCGCAATTTATTAAACAACATAGATCTAATAGGCTCTCTCAATTTACTAGACCTAAGTTCCTATTGAAAATAGCCTTTAATATCAAATTAACATCTGCTATATTCATCAATTCAATATTACTATACTTTTACAATCAAATCACATCTGCTCGATTCATAATCTAATTGTAAAGAATTAAAACAATTCAATAAGAAAGTATTATGCAACATCAATAATTAACCAAAACAATTTATCCCTTCATATTAATTATGGATCCCCTTAGAACCCTAGAAATTAACTACTCGCACATAATTAAATCTAGACTAATCAAGGCATATATTAAAGGTAAAAAAAGATCAGGGCCGATCGGGCGGTTGCCCAGAAAGGCGGTGTGAAGAAAAAGGCGGGCCCAGTCGGGCGGCCTTTCACCCGATCGGGCGCGTGTTTTTCTAGAGGCGTTTAGGAATCGTGTTTTGAGTTAATTTTGGGTTTAGTATTTAAACTCTTTTGTAAGCTTTATTAGCTAAGTTTTTAGATTACAATCTTCATTCTTAAGCTTTTAGAGAGATTTTAGTGAGAGATTATTGTTGAACTCAAGTTTTCCCCTTTTAGTGCAATTTCAAATTTCCTTCATTTGGTATTATTTCTCGTCTCTTTTATCGCTTTGATTTTAATTGCTTCGCTATTTTTGTGCTTTGATTTCAATGCCGAGTCTTCTTTCTTCTTTTCCTTTGGGCTCCAAACACTTGTGGCCCAAATTTACTTCTTCCTTGGTCTTGTACTTGTACCAATTCCACAAACCAAGCCTTTAGTCACCGAGATAATCGGTATTGGGCTACAAACGACGGTCATGAATGTGATCATAGCTTCGATATCCCGTAGTGGCCAGAAATCCATTAAACACCAACAAATCGGGGGAATTCCTACAAAACAAATGCCAACTCTACAAAACACTCGAAACCACACATTAGTACTAAAAATAGCCTCGAAGAGCTCAAATATGCATAAAAATGACCGTGGGACGGGGGATAAAAAGTATATAAAACCATATATATCAAACTCCCCCAAGCCAAATCTTTGTTTGTCCCTAAGCAAAGCAATGAATCAAACAAATCAAAACTTCACCCCAAATCCATTTCAAAACCACGATACAACTCGAGGCAAATCCAACAAACATGCATCATAATCAATCACTCAAATCCATCCAATTACTAATCCTCCCTAACAATTGTCAATTAGAGCAAACCACAAGAGCATATCGAATTCAAGACTAGTGCTGACACACTCAACTCTCATTTATGTGGCGAGTAAAAGATGTACTTGATCGTTCTTTATCCCAACTCCTTTATATGTGAACAATGCCCTCCCAACTCACGCACTCGTGTGTTCTATTTTTACTCTTTTTTAAGAAATTTTGTTAAATGATTCAAGTTGTAGAATAAAACTTCCATAATTTTACCGAACAACATAGAAAAAAAAATTCATGAATTTAAAATTCTATGGTGTTCCAAACAGTATATTTGGAATTGAATACTAGTATTTCAATTCCCAGATTGAAATGAAAAAATTTGAAATGAAATATTGATTCCCAAACACTGCCTTACTTTAATTTGACAACTAAAGTAACATACTAATGTATAGTATACTGCAATGAGTGCAATCTCATCCCCAATTTGGTGTTTTCTTCGTTTATTATCACCCAACATCTTACAGTCTTATGGTTGTATCACCCCAAATGGTAATGAATTGTAATGGAAATTTATAAAATATAATAATTCCGGTGAATTAGCATTATTATGGGAATGGTCATTGAATTGTTTTACAAATCTATATCCGAATTCGAAGTACAAATTAATTCCCATTGCCACCATTCTTACAAGTCGTTAGAAATTTATAATTTGGTTTCATGAGGCAACTGAAAATGTTTAATGATGTTATAAGAACATGTTTGGTAAGGGTACCTTTTTGCTCTAAAAATGGATTTAATAAACCATTACCGACTTACCGTCTTTAAGTGTTCCGTTAAAGGGTCTAGGTAACAATTACCTTACTTGGGGGTAATGCTTTCTACCTAATTGAGACTGCTCTATAACCTTTGGTATCAATAATCATTACCCTGCTCTTATTTGTTTTCTTTCCATTTCGTTTCTAATGTTTATACCAAGCACCTTCCAAATCTATAACTCTATACTAGTTAGTCCTCCTTTCTTAATATGTGAGTTACACGTGTAAGCATTTAACTAAATTTGTTACAATCCACAGTTGTGAATGACTCTCCATGAGAAGCTTCTTGCTTTTAACAAACTGGCTAAATGTAGAATGCTACCTCCTGAGCAATCTTGGGAAAAATCTGGACTCAAAGTGAATATTGTAAGTAGACTATATTTTTATTAATTTATCATTTGGATGCTATCTGTTGATACTTTATTATTGTATTGTAGATTTCTTTCCGCTATAGAAATATTTTTTCGCAGACAAAAACCATATGGTGATATGGTATATAAGTACTCAAGAATGTCAGTAATGGATCAAGTTCATCATGTCCTTCATTCACTGATGTTGGATGATTTGCTAAGGGTTGAAAACAGATTTATAAGAAGGGAGGCCATCTTCGAATGACCAAAATATGTAGCTTAATGTAAATTATAAAATTGTAGTGATTATTACTGATTGCTGCACAACATATTAGTGCAGAAAAGAAAAGGTGGTACACAGATGATAATCAATCAACAACCATTGTAAAGTCATTATAAAGGTTGGAAGGAAGGCGATGGGTGAGGATGACCTCAAGTGGTGTAGTTTTGAGGTTGGTTATTCCGAAACCCTCAGTCATGTCAACAGTTTCATCCAATGGAATTGAGATGTCAAATCCATGGAGTAAATTAGCTAGTGTAAACTGCATGACCGAAAGGGCAAAAGATATACCAGGACATATCCTCCTTCCACTTCCAAAAGGCATAAACTCAAAACTCTGGCCTCGCACATCATAGTCTTTATTAGTTGTGAGAAACCTTTCAGGGTGAAAATCTAAAGGGTTTTCCCAAACTAGTGGATCTCTGTGTATCTTGTAAAGATTGACAAAGAGTTGTGTCCCAGCTGGAATATTGTAACCACTCACAATACAATCTGAAATAGCTTCTCGAGGGACTGAAAGGGGTGCAGCAGGGTATAGTCTCATAGTCTCCTTGAGAACTGCTTGCAAGTAGACTAAATTCTTGAGGTCTGATTCTTCCACCTGCCTTTCTTTGCCCACCACGATGTCGAGTTCAGCTTGACTCTTCTTCAGAACTTCTTTATTGTTGAGTAGCAATGACAGTGCCCATGTTAAGGTTACTGCTGTGGTATCTGCTGCTGCTAAAATCATTGCCTTCCAAGTACAAGAAAATAATTAATGTTTGAAAATATCTCATCTAAGAATTGAACAACTATAAAATTTGATGGAATTAATTAGAGAGGGCTAGCCAGTGATATAAAAGAGGGTTCGGATTGAGCCATAAATATCTCACTAGAAATTATTATGCTTGACAATAAGCAATATTATGTCCTTTCTTGGTTATTAATGTATGGATTAGCTCTAATTTCACTTTGTTTTGAGAGTGGAGTAAGATAATGGTAAAACTTAGGTCTGCATATTAGTTCATTTTTATCACTCAGCAGAACTCACTGACCTGTAACCACCTCTAACAACTGTATAAGACTTGTTCTTTTCCCCATTGTAAAAATTTCAAAATAAGTTCAGATTAAGGGCTATCCAAGCTTAGTTCATAACTAAAATGAGATCAGATTCGAACAAAGCTATCATGTAAACATGGTTGCAGTATAATAATTTTTTTGTTCTTGTCATAAGATTAGATTGTTCAAGAATTAATCAAACACTGATAGTGCGTGCGTAAAAGTTCTTACTGTGCAAGTGGCTTTGATAATTGCATCTGTTTCGTATTTGGAAGGCTTTTCCTGTCCAGACTCGAAAATACCAAGCATCACATCCATGAAGTCCAGCTTTCTCTGTGCCTCATTAGAGCTTCTGTTTTTATGTTCATCTAACCACCTTTGAGCTATATGATCAATCTCTTTTGCTGCTTTCTTCATTTTTTTCTCGTACCCTCCGATATCAAACCACCTCAGGAAGGGCAGTGCATCAGCAGGGACGAATACACCTGCCAATTCAAAGAAATCCCTGAATGCCTTTACACACCTATTATATTCCTCCCCTTGGTAGAATTTCTTCAATGACTTGCCTGAAATTAATTTTACAATAGTGTTCATGCTTATATCAGTAAACCATTGTTTCATGTCAGTTGATTCAGACCTAGCAACTGTTATACTCTTCATCGCCGATCTTACCTCAGATATCCTGACATGTTTAAGGATCTCTACCCGATGGGCAGACAGTAGCTCGATAGTGGTAATCTTACGCATCTCACGCCAGTATTGGCCATATTGGCTGAAGCCCAACATGGCACCATTGTAAGCCATATGTTCTATAAAGATTTTTTGAGGACGATTTAAGAATACTTTGTCATTGGTGCCGCCTAAGCACTCTTTCGCCATCTCTGCTGTACTCACCACCAAAGCTTGGTGGATACCAAGCTTGATCATAAAGATTTGACCATATTTATCTGCTAATTTTCCCAAGGTTATGTGAGGAAGCTCTCCTAGAAGATGTAGATGGCCAATAACAGGCCAAGAACCAGAAGGCTGGGGAGGTTTCGCCTTGGTATCAGTTCTCTTTTTTTGTTGAAACAGACAGTAGAGGCAGTAGAGAAATAGAAATAAGGCAAGAAAGCTTGTAGCTTCAGCAGACAGCTGAAATGGTAGTTGAAATTTAAATTCCATTTTGTTTTACAGCTTTTTTGTGGTGGTGAACTGAGACTTGTGTTTTTGAAGTTTTTCTTACAGACTTCAGCAAGATTTTTCTGCGATGGCATTACTCGTATGATATGATTAAAATTACTAGAATAGTCTATGTTTAGATACTGAAGATATTTAAACATGTGAGTGCTAACTCTATTAAGTTTGTTTTCTTTAGAAAACTAAATTATTGTTGCTGGACTTTTGTTTCCACTTGTTTTTTGTTTTTTTTTTGACTAAAAAAGTATCCTAAACTGTAATGTATTTGCCTCTTTCTGAATCTCAGCCTTAGTTTTGTAGGAATATGACGTATGGGATGACAATTTTGAGCAAAATGCTATGTGAATAAGCCAGGAAAAGCCTCAGAAATCGTCTGACCTTGCGGCTTGGTGCTTTGCAGAGGTGAACATGCATTGAATTTATCTATTAGGCTTGTGAAATTAACCCATGAGATTATATATCTTGTGCATCCTCCATTCTTTTTCTTTCTTCCGGCTTTTCACACTTGACTTTAATGAATTGTGTTAACAAAGGTATTATTTCATTACATCCATCTCTTGCTAATGCAAAATTTTGAACACAAATATATTTTAATTATCACTAAGTAAAAAATTATAACAGTTTGTTGATAAGTATATTAGGTGACTCGTACTTCGTAGCTTTGTCCGCCCGATCGGGCGGACATTGCCCGGTCTGACCGGGCGGAAGAAGAAGAGGTGCCTGGCAAATTCGTTGAAGAAGCTGCTCTCGCGCCCGACCGGGCGAGCCTTCGCCCGACCGGGCGAGCCTTCGCCCGATCGGGCAGACCTTGCCCGGTCTGACCGGGCGGTGGGGGTTGGATACGTTGAAGCATTCGTATGGAGTTTTCTTCTCGCGCCCGATCGGGCAGACCTTGCCCGGTCTGACCGGGCGGAGAAGGAAAAATACGGAACGCGGATTTTGCGGTTTTAGGTTATCTTATTTTATTATCTTTTTGCCCAAGTATCTTTTAATTAGGGATTAATATAAAACCTCCCTAATATCAGTATTAGGGGGAAGAGAGGGAGAGTGAGAGCCGTTCTTGAGAAATACAAGAATCATCTTTGTAATCTTTGCAGTTTATAGTGAAATCATTCGATCTCGGTGCCCGTGGACGTAGCTATCACATCGATAGTGAACCACGTAAATTCTTGGTGTTGTTCTTATTGTTTGCATTGAATTTCTTTATTGTTTTCTTGTTTGTTTTCGACCTTTGCTTCCGCTGTCGCACAACAATTGGTATCAAGAGCTCAGGTTCAATCCTTGGAGAGTTTCTTGAAGATAACAATGGCAGGAGATTCAACAATAAGAATTGAGAAGTTTACCGGGAAAAATAGTTTCGGGCTATGGCAAATTAAGATGAAGGCTCTGTTAAAACAACAGCAGATATGGCGTCCGTTGGCTCCAAAGAGTACTACTTCGGAGTCAGGAGACGGACCGACTGACTCGCAGTTAGAAGTTATGGAAGAGAAGGCACACTCTACCATATTACTTAGTCTTGATGATCAAATCATCACGGAGGTGGCTGATCAGGAAACGGCGGCTGGATTGTGGCTGAAGCTGGAGTCATTGTATATGACTAAGTCGTTGACCAACAAATTATTACTGAAACAGCGGTTGTTTAGCCTCCGGATGCAGTCAGGTACTTCCTTACGGGAACATCTAGAAAAACTTAACTCTATTTTGCTTGATTTACGTAATTTAGATGTTAAAATTGATGATGAGGATGCTGCGTTGATTTTACTTGTATCTCTACCGTCTAGCTTTGAGAATTTTGTAGAGTCTTTTGTTGTTGGTAAGGATTCTATAACCTTAGAAGAAGTGAAGGCAGCACTTCATACTAGGGAACTCAGAATGAAAGCTACGAGTGATAATGGGGATAATGGTAGTGGGTTGTTTGTTAAGTCCGGAAAGTCTAAAAAGAATAAGGGGTTTAACAAGGGGAACAATGCTGGGTCGGGTGCTGGAAACGGCAAGGATGGATCTAGTAAAACTACTACTAAAACATGTTATTACTGTAAAGAACCGGGTCACTTTAGGAATAATTGTCCGGTGAGGAAAAACAAGTCCCAGGCTGCTGTAGTTGAAGAGAAACCGAATGAGAGCTATAATTCAGAGGAAGATTTAGCATTAGTCAGTTCTGCTAGGTCTGATGATTTATCTGATAACTGGGTTCTAGATTCGGGGTGTTCGTTCCATATGTGTCCACGTCGAGATTGGTTTGATACATATGAACCTCGCAATGGGGGTATGGTTATAGTCGGTAACAATGCTCCATGTAAGGTCACAGGTATTGGTTCCATGAGGTTGAGGACTGTTGATGGGCGGAGGTTAACTTTGACTAATGTACGGCATGTTCCTGCTTTAGGAAAGAATCTGATTTCATTGGGTACCCTGGATGAATTGGGGTACAATGGTGTGTTTTCAGATGGGGAGTTGTGTATTTTCAGAGGTTCTGAGTTGGTACTTAAGGGTATCAAAAGGAACACCCTCTATGTTTTTGAGGGTGTTACACTGCCTAGTTCTGCGGTTTGCGCATCTGTATCTCACCAGGAGATGACTAAGATTTGGCACATGAGGCTTGGTCATATGGGGGAGAAGGGGATGCAGCTATTGTCCAAGAGGGGTCTTCTATCCGGGGTCAAGGTTGCCAACCTTGAATTTTGTGAGCATTGTGTGTTTGGTAAGAAACACAGGTCAAAGTTCAGCAAGGGTGCTCACATTACTGATGCAGTGCTCGATTACATCCATTCAGATTGCTGGGGTCCATCTAGAGTTGAAGGTATGGGAGGTTACCACTATTTTGTGTCATTTGTTGATGACAAGTCCCGATACACATGGCTTAGGTTGCTTAAGTCAAAGGATGAGGCCTTCAAAGTTTTCAAGCAATGGAAAGCTTTGGTGGAAAATCGACAAGGAAGGAAGATCAAGAAGCTACGAACGGACAATGGGCTAGAGTTTTGCAAAGACGAGTTTAATCAGTTCTGTGCAGATGAGGGTATAGGTCGGCATCATACTGTCAGGAAGACACCACAGCAGAACGGTGTAGCAGAACGGGTTAATCAGACACTGCTAGAGAGAGTCCGATGCATGCTCTCTAATGCAGGGCTTGGGAGGAGGTACTGGAGTGAAGCTGTGTTAACAGCTTGTTATGTCATTAATAGGGGTCCTCATTCTGGAATTGATTCCAAAATTCCGTTTGAGATCTGGAGTGGTAAGTTGCCTAATTTTTCGAATTTGAAGATTTTTGGTTGTGTTGCTTATTATCATGTTATTGAGGGTAAGCTGGATCCACGAGCCAAGAAGGGGTGTTTTGTTGGGTACGGGGATGGTGTGAAGGGGTTTAGAATTTTTTCACCTTCGGAGGGTCGGGTCATTCTTAGTAGGGATGTTACTTTCGATGAAAACACCATGTATTCAATTAAAAATGCAGAGATTTCAGATTTGAGAAGGGAAGGAGACAATTTATTACAGACAGATGGGGTACTTGAGGTACATCAGTCTACCATTGCTGATTTACCTCGGGTACAATATATTGATGATGATGCTGATGTTCCAGTGCCGGGTACTCCTGAACCTGAGATTACTCCTACTCATTCTAACTCTGGGGATGAGGTGGAGCAATCTAATCAGGGGTCATCTAGTCAACCTGACACCATTCTTGAGATGCCTAAACGAGTTATCAAGAAGCCTGTTAGATTGATTGAAGAGATGGAGGGAAGAAATTGCTGTGTTGATGCGATGACAGGTTATGCATTGAGTGTAGCTGATGATGTAGAGTCATTTGAACCTGCCACATATAAACAAGCAATTAGTTGTAGTGAGTCTGCGCAATGGCTTGCCGCAATGGGTGAAGAGATGCAGTCCCTTTACAAGAACAGAGTGTGGGAACTGGTAAAGGTACCGGAAGGGAGGAAGCTTGTGGGTTGTAAATGGATTTACAAGAAGAAAGAAGGGTTGTCGGAAACTGAGCAAATACGTTTTAAGGCTAGGCTAGTTGCTAAGGGGTTCAGTCAGGTAGAAGGGGTTGATTTTGTTGAGATATTCTCACCTGTGGTTCGACATACTTCTATCCGTGTGTTATTGTCAATTGTAGCACATTTTGATCTTGAGCTGGAGCAGTTGGATGTTAAAACGGCTTTCCTTCATGGCGATTTGGAGGAGGAGATTCTGATGAAGCAGCCCGAAGGATTCGAAGTTCCTGGAAAGGAACACTATGCCTGCAGATTGCTAAAGTCATTGTATGGACTTAAGCAATCCCCCCGACAGTGGTACAAAAGGTTTGATTCTTTTATGGTTTCACAAGGTTTTGACAGGAATTCATATGATTGCTGTGTGTATCATAGTAAGCTGGATAATGGTTCCATGATTTATCTTTTGTTATATGTTGATGACATGTTGGTTGCCACAAAGAATAAATCTGATATTGCTAGATTAAAGGAGATGCTTAACTCGGAGTTTGACATGAAAGACTTGGGTGCAGCTAGGAAGATTTTGGGTATGGAGATCTACAGGGATCGGGCTAGAGGTAAGCTTTTCTTGACTCAGAAAAGCTACATTGAAAAGATTCTGTCTCGTTTTGGGATGGAAAAATCGAAGCCTATAAGTACGCCAACTACTGTTAGTTGTAAGTTGTCTTTGTCTATGTCACCTCAATCAGAGGAGGAGTTGTCTTATATGTCTAGAGTTCCATATGCAAATGCGGTTGGTTGTTTGATGTATGCTATGGTCTGTACTAGGCCGGATATTGCGCATGCTGTTAGTGTTGTAAGCAGGTTTATGGCTCGACCTGGGAGGGAACACTGGCAAGGGGTGAAAAGGATTTTTCGCTACCTGAGAGGGACAGCTGATATTGGTCTTGTGTACGGGAATGGTAAGGAATGCTTGGTCACTGGGTACAGTGATTCTGATTATGCAGCTGATGTGGATACCAGGAGGTCTGTGACTGGTTATGTGTTCACTTTGGGTGGTTCTGTGGTTAGTTGGAAGTCTACATTGCAGTCATCAGTTACGTTGTCAACTACTGAAGCTGAGTATATGGCTCTAACTTCTGCAGCTAAGGAGTCTATTTGGCTCAAAGGCCTAGTAGGTGAACTGGGTATTGCACAGGATTTTGCTACAGTGTATTGTGATAGTCTAAGTGCGATTTGCTTAGCTAAAGATCAAGTACACCATGATCGGACGAAGCACATTGATGTCAGGTATCATTTCTTACGTACTGACAAGAGGATTAAGGTGAAGAAGATTGGGACTGCTGACAACCCGGCTGATTTCTTCACTAAGCCTGTTCCGTTTAGCAAGTTTAAACATTGCTTAGACTTGCTAAATATTGATTACTACGTGATGTAGTAGGCCCTGAGGGGCGAAGTTGGGGAGCTCCTGGTGTAGGTGTGTTGGCCTTAAGGTGGAGCTTGCCCGGGGCTTGTGATGCAGGTGGAGCATTATGAGTTGTTATACTTGGAGACGAGTATGTGATGGGTCTTGGTTGAAGACTTATCGGGATGTATGGCTTATGCATGAGTCCTGCATCGGGTTTGGCTTGAGATGTTTTTTCACTATGTCTTGATGGGGTCGTTTGCTGACTACGAGTTCTCGTCAAGGTGGAGATTGTTGATAAGTATATTAGGTGACTCGTACTTCGTAGCTTTGTCCGCCCGATCGGGCGGACATTGCCCGGTCTGACCGGGCGGAAGAAGAAGAGGTGCCTGGCAAATTCGTTGAAGAAGCTGCTCTCGCGCCCGACCGGGCGAGCCTTCGCCCGACCGGGCGAGCCTTCGCCCGATCGGGCAGACCTTGCCCGGTCTGACCGGGCGGTGGGGGTTGGATACGTTGAAGCATTCGTATGGAGTTTTCTTCTCGCGCCCGATCGGGCAGACCTTGCCCGGTCTGACCGGGCGGAGAAGGAAAAATACGGAACGCGGATTTTGCGGTTTTAGGTTATCTTATTTTATTATCTTTTTGCCCAAGTATCTTTTAATTAGGGATTAATATAAAACCTCCCTAATATCAGTATTAGGGGGAAGAGAGGGAGAGTGAGAGCCGTTCTTGAGAAATACAAGAATCATCTTTGTAATCTTTGCAGTTTATAGTGAAATCATTCGATCTCGGTGCCCGTGGACGTAGCTATCACATCGATAGTGAACCACGTAAATTCTTGGTGTTGTTCTTATTGTTTGCATTGAATTTCTTTATTGTTTTCTTGTTTGTTTTCGACCTTTGCTTCCGCTGTCGCACAACACAGTTTAATTTTATAGAGATTAAACATTGAGACGATTGTATCAAGATTGATCTTGACTCTGTTTTTATTATGTGTAAATCACTAATATGTGTCAAAATAGAGTATGTGAATAGTGCAAAGTGAATGAGTAAATTAAAGAAAATAGAGGGAATACTAGGAGTGCATATACTGTTAGCTAATAGCTATGTCCTCATCATAAAGTTTGTTTTTGTTAATTAAAACTATGCTATGAGAAGTTATTTCCTTTTGATTAGATGTATAGTGTCCAATAACTTCAATGAATTGTGTTAACATCTATTTCTTGCCAAATAAAAGTTTGACAATTTGCCCATTTTAGGCTAGCCACAAAACCACGAGCCTAGCAGAGCCATATTTCAACATGACTCGGCTTAATTTAACTTAACTTCTCATCTTAAGCTACATAGGTGTATTAGCTTAGCCTTGGCTCATGAGCTTGAACTCCTCTCAAAATCAATGTTCAAAACAATGAACATATCTTAAGTTTATAAGTGCTGCTGCTCTGGTGCTGTTCAACTCAGACAAGCAGGCAAGCTGTGCTGAGAATCTCATTACATTTTAAAAGGTGAATTATTTATAAAATATAATTGTTTTTGGGCTCGGCTTATTGAGTACTTGAACTACAATTGAATTTCAACCTGGCTTGTTCATAAAATGAACTAAGTCGAGCAGAAATTTTAGCCAATCTAATTTTGATTTATTCAAAATCGGCTTTGTTGGTGACCACTCTTAGTCCCTAGATACTAACTAGTCACTATTGTGGCATTGATCAACACTTCACTTTATTGACACTAATTAGCTGACCTGGGATTTTTAATTGTCTAAAAGAGCAACCTTTTCTTTGTCATTTTCCTTTGTTTTATATACTTATTTCTAGTTCATATATAGAAGATAGAGTGATGGGTTATGTATGGTATCACCATGATTAAAATAACTTCTGATATTTAGAGTTGATGTGTTGTTTGTTTCTATAATCCTGTTACTCAACCTCACTAATCTGTCTTATTCTTGACTGATGAGTAAATAGGTTTATTATATTGTTCAACTTGGCCCTATTCTAAGTATTATATAGTTTGATTAAGGGTTATAATAAACTTTTCTTTGAAAGTTTAACCATATAATTAAGTTATATACAATATACAATAATACTGGTATTCAGGATTTCTGCAAGTTCTAGAATCGGTTGTCTCTTCATTCAAAACATTGCTATTCAGAATCTCTAGCTAATTGAATATTCCTTGAATTCTGAGCTTAGTCGTATACAACGGCTTCAAGTACAAGAAAATAACACCACCAAGGAGAAATAATCATTGTTCTGTTGTTGATCTGTCTCTGATCATCCCAACTGCCAAAACATTAAGCCTCAGAAATCTGTGTCTTAGAAAGATCTTCGATCCTTAATTCTTTCGTAAATAATTTAGTTGTATATTCTGTTTCTTAATTCTTTACGATCTCTTTGATTTTTTTTTTTTTTGGTGTAATGGAATCGAGTTTTCTAGTCCAAAGTCAAGAGCTTCCTGATTTTGGCTTGTTTATAACCAAGAATCTGGAGCTACATTGTAAATCATTAGGATGGGTAGGAGAGTCACCACTTTCTGACAGTAAAATGGATGAGGTTGTAAAGAAACCAGATAGCTTTGGCAAAAAAGTTATCTCAGAGAGGAAGAATTCAATTGCTCTGAGGAACCATTGTGAGGCTGAGAGGCGAAGAAGAGAGAGAATCAATGGTCATTTTGCTACCCTCCGGAATTTCCTTCCTTCAGCTGTTAAGGTATGAGATGATCTCTCCTTCCCCCTACTTGTAAAATCGGAAGGCTTTGTTAACCGGGTAATAGATAGTTGAAATAATGAAAATGGGTATATATATAAACTTATTTGTTAGTCTGTTTCCTGCCAATAAATCCATTTTTTCTTGATCATATTTTCTATAACACCCTTCAGCTTAAAGCTATTTTCTTGGCACTGTTTTTATCATATCTATATTTCCCATTTAGTCATTATGCAAGAACTTTGCATTTTAAGCTTCTCAACTGTTTCATCTGTTCTGTTATGAATTATCTGCCAGTCGAATTTACTTTCAATCTATTTCCCATTCTCTGAATTTACATTCAGATCATAGTTTTTTGCTAAGGAAGTCTAGCTCTTTGATCAATTCACTTCTTTACCATCAAGATCTCTAAGGTCAATGTTCTCCATTGATTCGTCTCTGTGTTTAGCTTACTTCTTTACCTTATTCTAGTTTGGTGACTATCAATTGATAATCGCCAATTAGCTTCTGATTCCTTCTGAAAAAACCTGCCTCCATTTTCTGCAAAGATTATATTATGTTATTTTTGGAGATGCTTGACTATTCCTTCCATAGACATGAAGTTGCTTTTACAATAATTAATGATGTAAACCATTGAATTTAAAAAAGCAAAACAGTGGCTGTGCTGTACCTGTAATCGACGTCGTTAATGGGCTGCTTCGTGTCTAGACATTTTTGTGGTCCCGTCTCAAGGTTTAACTATGGACTAATGAATATTCTGAGAATTCTTTAGCTTATTGAACCTTTTGGGGATTAAAATATTCGCCTGCCGACTATTAAATCATATTTTCTAATGTTTAAATTGTTTTTTTCCTGATGTAAGTATCTAGATTAAAGAGACTTGGCAACTGAAACAGAACTGTATGTGTCATCCTGTTTGTTTAATCAAATATGTGCTTTTCAGTGCATCAATATGCTAGTACTATTCATTTGGACTTTTTCCATCGAGGAATCTTCATCATTATGTTGGGAATATGATATTTGGTGACGATGTATAGGTGAAAACTTGAAGCCGCTAGATTTGGATGGCTTTCACTTCCATCTCTTAGAATAGGGAGTTGTTGAACAGGTTGTGACAGGCTTTGTTTCAAGTTCGCATAGATGGATTGAGATTCAATTTGGCTGATTTGATTAGATTAGATCAACAAGTTAAGATTGTTAACCCCTGGGTGAAAATTTTAAATACATCTATTTGCTGCCTTGTTCGCATTGTATTCTCATGCTACGATGTTTTGCAAAATTTTAGTTTTTTACTGCTTTGAGAACATTGTATGGCTCAGACAAGAGATACTGGACCGACCTGTAGCATACTGGCATTAATGTAGGATGACTGCGCCTGTTGTATAACTGTTTACTCATTGCATACAAGACTTATTGAACGTCTTCTTGGAGACTATCTTGCCTTTAAGTATGTACATTACAATGTTCTGTGATTTTGAAATGCCTATTAATTTTGCATAAACATATGACCCTTCAGATTGACAAAGCAACACTGCTAGCTGAAGTAATTGCCCAAGTCAGAATGCTAAAGAAGCAAGCATACGAGGCTTCCAAGGGGCTGCTCGTACCAACAGATGCTGATGAAGTTGTAGTTGAGCCATACAATGATGAAGACATAGCTCATGGATCTTTTGCTTTCAAGGTTTCAGTATGCTGCTGTTACAAGCCAGAACTCATCCCAGATATGAGGCAAGCCATCAATGACCTTGAACTCACTATAGCCAAGGCAGAGATTTCTACCTTAGAGGGCAGGGTAAAGAATGTTCTTATTGTCACTGGATACAAAGAGGACACTGGTGATGACAAAACAGACAAATTCGCTAAGTGTATACACGAAGCCCTGTGTTCTGTTCTCCAGAAGCTTTCTGCGTCAGAAGAGTACTCGCCAACTTCAACATTACCAAACAAGAGACGAAAAGTCTCCTGCTTTGAATCCTCAATATCGAGCCCATCTTTGTGAGTTAACACCCTTGAGAATTGAGATGTACTTCCAAGTCTCCTAGGCCTAATACCATCGTATAATTTGATTTGAGAAAAGAAGTAGGATTTTTGAAAAGTTTCTGATGTAGAGCATCGACGCTTTGATCCCGTGCCATGTAAGAAAAACAAATTACATATGTACTTGGCAGTTTGATTCTGTAACAAGAACATATACTTGGACATTGATTCTTCTAATGATCAAAGATGTCTAGGCAATTATGGTTCTGTATCGTAAGTACTAGCAAATAATAAATGTTTTCCTTTGTAAATTGTATATAATACGAAGTAGTTCATTGCTAGTTCACTTAATATAAATGGCAATCTTCTTAAAGGGAAAAATTGTTGGTAAAATCTTTATATACAAGGATGCTGTAAATAAAACTATTGTGGTTGAACATACCAAACATTGGTATATCGTTGTAATTCAAATCACCATAGCAAATCAACATAGCAAGACTATAAAAAAGAAAAGGCTATGCGGGAGGCACATTTTCTAAGTTTATTACTTTTTCATCCTATTTTGGAAAAATGGTCCAGAATAATCCTTTTTTTTTTAAAAAAAAAACGTCTAAAATAATCTAACCTTTGCTTGTTTCTTTAAAAATAATCCAACATCAACCTTTAGGGGATATTATCTTATCTTAATTTTTACCTTTAATATTTAAATTACCAATATTGTTTGATAATATGTATTAAAGTATAATATTCCTCAAAATCTAATCTAATATATTATTATTATTATTATTATTATTATTATTATTAAAATTATAAATAAAGTAGGCATTTTTGGAGAGCATTCGGAGCGCCACGTAAGAAATATACTTATTTCGACCAATAAGAAAAAAGATTTGTATTTTATTTTTGAATTAAAAAATTATGCCGCCGCCACCTAGATAATAGTAACGAATTAGATTTGATATATCTAAAATTTTAATGCCACGTAGATTATAATCCACGAATTAAATTATTTTAATGAAAATAATAAAGTAAAAATATAGGAAAAGATAAATTTATTAATTCAATACTACGAGTATAAGAAATCCATAAAAAAATATACTAAGAAATATTTAAATGATAAACGCTTATATTAAAGTTTGATACATATCATTATAAGATAAATTTTGATAGTATTTATGATAAAAAATACAAATTGTTCGTTAATTATAATTAAATTAAAATTTATGATACCTACTATTATAAATTGACACATCATACGACACATACAAAATTTTGTATCAATAAAAAATCTCATCAAGCGAATTTTGTGTTAGTAATTTTGTGTTAATTTTTGGTCATCAATAGCCGGGTAATTTTTAGCTTAATTTTTAAAATCTTATGTTTAAATCAGTATTTCTAATTATTACTTACATTGTATTAATTTGAGATACTCGACGATTATATGTTTATGTTTTATTTACTAAATGTTTTTTTACATGCAGATCTAACACATCATATGACACAAATAAAATTTCGTATCAATACAAAACCCCATCAAGCAAATTTTGTGTTAGTAATTTTGTGTTAGTTTTAGGTCATCAATGTCCGGGTAATTTTTAAAATCTTATGTTTAAATTTATATTTGTAATTATTAGTTACATTGTATTTATTTAAAATACTTAACGATTATTTGTTTATGTAATGGCATACGATTAGATGTTGTATTCTTAATATATGGATGGCTTTTGGTTATTTTTGGAGATGATGAAAAAATTCCAATGCATAGATTTGATTTTATATCGCAACAATTTTTCATTTATTGGTAAATATATTGATTTATTTTATATAAATGTAAAGATTTAATTTATATCAATTTCAATTTAGCTAACATTTCACGGTTCAATACTTTATCCATTGATGTAGTAGGTTTGTTATGGACGAGGTTGGTGATTCTATCGAAATAAAAGTTATGGTAAAACAATGAATAATAATTTAGGATTTAAATTATTAAAAATTTATCACATTATTGATTTTAAATAACGGAAAAAAAATATCATATTTACAATTTATTTATATTTAATAAATTCATTATAAATTATAGTAAAAAAAAATATTAAACTTTTGTAATTTTGTCCGAAATTATTAAACAATAAATCAAATAATTAAAAATCTTAGATGAAAAAACCGTGCATCGCACGTGCTTCCATCTAGTTATTTATAAACAAAGGGAGTATGTGCATAAAAAAAAATAAAAAAAATAAAAAAATAAAAATAAAATAAAAACTATGGTTCAATTGCAATTATTGGCACAAACTTATCACCATAATTAAATTCAATTGACATAACATATGTACATTAAGAATCTGTTTTGTTCACCTTATCTTCAATTATTTAAGGCCTTATAAGTTTATGAAAACAAAGTTCGGATAAGGGTCATTGATATTCAAATTAAAACTAATTTTATTTATTTATTTTTTTTTATTTATTTTTTTTTTTCTTTTTTGAGATATATACAGTTCAAATAAAATAAGACAAGTTCAAATAACTTAAAATCATGTGAATTAAACACACCCTAAGACCAAAACATTGACATGAACTTAATACAGTATATAGAATTAAATCTCATTAAAAAATTATTGGTTGATATAGCTCTTGTCATTGAGTGTCTTTAGTATATTGTTTATGTCACTAAATGTCTTAAATGACCAAGTTAATGTCAACTAATAACTTAATACTAAAAGCGAAACAATGATGACACATGTCATCCACTGGTTGAAAATTTCCTCCACTTTATTTATTTATTTATTTATTTATTTTGGGTTTCTCAATCCTTCATGAAAAAATATTTATAGCCTATAATATTCACATTCCACCTTGGCAATTATATTTTTTCCTCAAATGAAATATTTTTAAATTTATACATTTTTCATTAAGTAATTTTGTTATAAAAATGAGCAGAAATAAGTAGTATATAAAGATACTATAATTCCTTTTTAGTATGTTAGAAATCCAGAATAATTGATACAATTCCAGAATATTCTGTAATTGTCTGTCATACCATACTTAGATAAATCACCCTAATTTAAGGAGTGATTATAGGACTTGATTGAGATTGTAATGGAACTAAAAAAGGAAAGCATGTATGTATATAATGATGTAAAGCCAAATGTTTGAAATATAAGATAATACAGAAAAACCTTTCAAACCCAAAACCAGTGTATTCTTTTTTACTTGGTATCAGAGCCAGGTTATTTCCGGCGACCGGAAAAAGCCATCGGCATCATCATATACCATGGAAACCGACAACCAGGACATAGTTCCAAAACCAGTAACAATGGATGATTTATTGCAACTGCTCTCGCAGTTAAACACCAATAAACCAAACACAGAAACCATAAACCATCCAGTCCAAATTACCGAAAAACTAAACCATACCAATTACACAAAGTGGTCAAGATTGATGCGTCTGAGCATCGGAGGACGAGGGAGGCTCAACCACATCACTGCCTCCCCGCCATCTCCGACAGACCCATAGTACTCACGGTGGGTTCAACGGGACTCACTAGTTACTGCATGGATAATCGAAAATATTGAACCAGAACTTCAAAATCAGTTCCTAGATTATCCAACGGCATATGAATTGTGGCAAGGAATTGAAACTATGTATGGGAGTGGTAAAGATGGCTTACAAATATTTGATCTAACGATCAAAGCAAACAAGATCCAGCAGGGAACTGACCCAATTGAAGTTTACTACAGTAAACTTTCATCAATCTGGAAAGAGATTGATAGGAGATTACCAAACCCGATGGTACATTCGGAAGATCAAACCATCTACAATCAAATAATCCAAAACAACCGTCTTTACCAATTTCTGGCTGGACTTAATGAGTCCATGGACAAAGAAAGAAGGGATCTTGTCAACCAAGACCCACTACCAACAGTAGAGGCGGCGTATGCGGCGGTCCGACGAGAGATCTCTCGGCGGGCTATCATGAAACCAGGAGAAAAGGCCTCACAAACATCATCGGCCGAATCTCTTGGTATCGGCAGCGGACTTGCGATCAAAGGAAGAACGGAGAAACCCAGATTCCGGCGGGACGATGACAAGGCACATCTCAGATGCACCCACTGTGGCGGAACCCGGCATACCAAGGAAGGGTGTTTTGAGATTATTGGATACCCTCCTTGGTGGGGCGATAGAAAGAAAAAGGGAGAAAGGAGGAATTCCGGCAAGGTTGTCGTGAGCAGCAGCGAGGGACCGGCGGCTGAAGCAGATGCTCACGAAGAGGCAACGGTGGCCATGAGCTCTTCTACCTCAGGTATGAAAGAGAAGGAAAAAGGTAAGATTTCAGAAAACCTAGATTTGGTTTATGGCTTGAATTCTGTTGTATGTAATAAGAATAGGTACAGCTTACTTTGTCAAATTAAAGAAGAAGAAGACACTTATTCTAATATAAACACTAGCCCACGCAAACCCACTAGTCCAGAAATAAAAAATGTGTCCTATAAAACCCCTAGGCCCAAAAATGATAGTTCACAAACTCATGAAACCCAAACTATTAAAACAGACATATATAATGCGGGGTTAGTTTGCAATACCAAGAAAAATACCAAATGGATTTTTGATTGTGGAGCTACAGACACTATGACATTTGACAGTAATGATCTAGAAAAAATCCACCCACCAAACAAAAACCATATACAAATCGCAAATGGAGAGGTAATTAAAACAAAAGGGTCTGGTATTGTCAAAATTTCCGACAATATCAAACTATCTAATTGTCTCTTCATACCGGACCTATCTCATAAATTACTTTCCATTAGTCAATTGACAAAGGATTTAAACTGTACTGTTCTTATGAATTCTCGTGGATGTACTGTTCAGGACACTCAGACAGGGGAGATTATTGGGCATGGTACTGAAGAAGGCGGACTATATTACCTTACTAAGATGCCTCAACAGGGTGAAGCAGCGCTTGTTCGAGGGACGGTTGAGCACCAGCTCTGGACTTGGCATAAGCGCTTAGGTCATCCTTCACTAGGGTATCTTAAGAAACTCTTCCCTTCCCTATCTAATTCGAATATTTCTTTTAATTGTGAGTCCTGTATTCTTGCAAAGAGTCATAAACATTCATATCCGAACAGTAACAGTAGAACTGAAAAACCTTTTATTTTGATTCACTCTGATGTGTGGGGACCAGCTCCCGAATTTAATAAACATGGTTTTTTATATTATGTTACTTTCATTGATGACTGCACTAGAATGAGTTGGGTATATTTTCTTAGAAACAAGTCTGATGTCTATAAAACATTTATCTCATTCTATAAAATGGCCCAAACCCAATTCCAAACTCAGATAAGAATCCTTAGGTCTGATAATGGTACAGAGTATAAGAACATTGACATGGATACCTTCACTAAAACAAATGGTCTTATTCACCAAACTACATGTCGCGACACCCCACAACAAAATGGCATAGCCGAAAGAAAAAACCGAACCCTTTTGGAAATGACTAGGGCCATGATGATAGAATCCTCAGTCCCGGCCTATTACTGGCCCGAAGCCATTTCCACAGCTAATTATCTCACCAACCGACTTCCTACAAAAAGCCTACAATTTTCCACCCCATTAGACACCCTTAAAAACCATGTCAATGTTCCCACTACTCACTCGTTACCACCTAGAGTTTTTGGATGTGTGGTTTATGTCCACTTACCCAAACGGGAAAGGAATAAACTTGAACCTCGGGCTGTTAAGTGCGTTTTTGTGGGATATGGGACTACTCAAAAAGGTTACCGTTGTTTTGATCCAGTAAAAAAACCGCCTATATACCACTATGGATTGTGACTTCGTTGAAACCGAATTCTATTACCACCAACTTCGATCTCAGGGGGAGAGTTCTCGTGAGGATCTAAGCTGGTTGGTCTATCCAGAACCTGATGTTCCTGACCCAAAAGAACAGGTTGGCAACACCACCGAGGCAACTGAAAATATGATACAGCTCGACCTTCACATAACTACGCCCACTAATTTACACATGTCTGAGTCCCCTGTCCAGACTGAAACAGAGGTATGTACACCAGAATTAAACCATATTTCTGAATCTGGGTTACCTGAATCTACTAATATTTCTTCTGAAGGAGAGAATGTAGTTCCAGGTACAAGTGAAGGTCAACCGCCAGAACCTGATCATAGCAAATATGAGCTACCACCAAGAAGCACTAGGGGTGTTCCGCCAAAAAGATATGATCCAGAATTCGAGTCACAAAGATCCAGATATCCAACAGGAAAACCAGGAGAAGGAAACCTGTCTCAAGGAGCAAAAAACTATTGTGCCTCCTTATACACTGAGAATGTCCCTACAACCATAGAAGAAGCTCTTAAAAACAAACACTGGAAATCAGCTATGGAGGAAGAAATAAATGCATTGATCAGAAATAAGACTTGGGAGAAGTGTATTCTACCCACTGGAAAAAGACCCGTGGGGTGCAAATGGGTCTTTACTATAAAACGCAGGTCAGATGGAAGTATCGAGAGATACAAGGCAAGATTGGTAGCCAAAGGATATACACAGACCTATGGGATAGATTATGATGAGACTTTCTCTCCCGTAGCAAATTTCAGCACAATTAGAGTATTGTTTTCGATTGCAGCAAACAGGGATTGGCCCTTATACCAATTCGATGTGAAGAATGCTTTTCTTCATGGGGACCTTTCTGAAGAAGTTTATATGGAAGCACCACCAGGGTTCTCACATGATTTCAGGAAAGGTGAAGGATGTAGACTGAAGAAAGCCTTGTACGGACTAAAACAGTCGCCAAGAGCATGGTTTGGAAGATTTACTGTGGCGATGAAGAAATTCGGGTACAAACAAAGCAATGCAGATCATACATTGTTCCTCAAAAGAAGAGGAACTGCAGTTACCTGTCTCATTATATATGTTGATGATATGATCATTACAGGAGATGATATCGAGGAAATAAAGCAGCTGAAAGACAAGCTTTTCAAGGAGTTTGAAATGAAGGATCTCGGCAATCTAAAATACTTCCTGGGAATAGAGGTGCTCAGATCAAAAAGGGGCATTTTTATATCTCAAAAGAAGTATGTCTTGGATCTCTTAGCAAAAACAGGTATGTTAGACTGCAAACCAGCAGATACTCCCATAATCATGAATCATGGACTGCAAATCCTTGAAGGAGCCGAGACTGTAAATCAAACACAATATCAAAGGCTTGTTGGAAAGTTGATATATCTAGCCCATACTCGTCCTGATTTAGCCTATGCTTTGGGGGTTGTCAGTAGATTTATGCATAAACCTCAAAAACAACACTCGAAGCGGTATACCGAATCTTGAGATATTTGAAGGGGACCCCTGGAACTGGAGTCATCTATGAGAACCATGGTCATCTAGACCGCCATGCCTTTACTGACGCAGATTGGGGATCGGATCGTGATAGTAGAAAATCGACTTCAGGATATTTTGCACTTGTAGGTGGAAATCTGGTTTCCTGGAAGAGCAAGCGACAAAAGGTGGTTGCTATGTCTAGTGCCGAAGCAGAGTTTAGGGGGATTGCAAAAGGGATCACTGAAGTACTGTGGCTCAGAAAGCTCTTAAGAGAGCTTGGGTACGGACCCAAGAAAAGTTGCAAGTTGTATTGTGATAATAAGGCAGCCATAAGCATATCTGAAAATCCGGTCCAACATGATCGGACAAAACATATAGAGATAGACAGACACTTCATCAAGGACTATTTAGACTGGAAGGTGATAGTCCTACCATTTGTCCGGTCAGAGGATCAGCTAGCAGACATTCTCACTAAAGCAGTCCCTACACAGGCATTCAAGCAAGCACTAAGCAAGTTGGGTGTTGGAGAGCCTACCACCCAACTTGAGGAAGAGTTTTAGAAATCCAGAATAATTGATACAATTCCAGAATATTCTGTAATTGTCTGTCATACCATACTTAGATAAATCACCCTAATTTAAGGAGTGATTATAGGACTTGATTGAGATTGTAATGGAACTAAAAAAGGAAAGCATGTATGTATATAATGATGTAAAGCCAAACGTTTGAAATATAAGATAATACAGAAAAACCTTTCAAACCCAAAACCAGTGTATTCTTTTTGACTTAGTATATGATTGTTAAATTAATGTTTTGCTTCGCTACTCTCTCCGTTTTATAATAATCGCTACACTTTCCTTTTAAACCTGTTTCATAATCATTGCAACACTATTATGTCTTGTTCACTTCACTTTATTTTTGCTGAACTGAAATTATTTTTGCTGAACTTAAATTAATTTTACTAAACTTAAATTAATTTTGCTAAATTGAAATTAATTTTGCTGAGTTGAACTTATTTTTTCTAAACTGAAATTAATTTTACTGAATTTTTTTTTAAGGTGAAGTGGATATGGTCTTATTTTATTATTTCTCTCTCCTACTAACCTCACTTACATTACTTTTTCATTATTTCTCTCTCCTACTAACAATTAAATACATCCCACTAACAACTATACATTATATTATAAAATTCCATTGATCCCCACCCTATAATTTTCCTAAAACTTTGTACAACACCTAGTGTTGTGATTATTACGAAACGGGGGGAGTATATAATTTAGTAAAACCCGTGCATTGTACGAGACTTTAGCTAGTTTAATTATAAACATAAGTTTGTGTCAATGGTTAATGAGGAGATGTTGCAATTATTATGAAACAAACGTAAAGCGAGAGTGTTATGATTATTAAGAAACCCCAAGGAGTACGAAAGTAAGCAAATTAAATTGGGACGGACCGACGTTGAACTTGGTCTAAGAAGCCAGTAGCCAGTAGGATTCGATCCCCGGTTCTCTGCCTGGTGTACAAGAATACCGATTGACTTTTAATTGTTTTTTTCCTCTACCCCCCCCCCCCCAAAAAAAAAAAAAAAAAAAAAAAAAAAAAAAAAAAAAAGTAGACTTGGAAAAGAAAGGAGAAAAAGAAGGAAGAAGGGGAAGGTTTATGATCAAATAAACAAGTTTGAATTTTGTAATGGAAATCCAAACGATTGATAAATCTAATAGCGGATCAATTTTGCAATTTGCACCTCTCCAAAGTTCAATAGACGAGGGTTTTTGGCATCGCCTTTGTTCTTTGAAGCTCAATCACTGGAAAACCGATGAATCAGCTGTTTCTATTTCTGGTAAATCTTACTTTTCAATTTTCTGGAAATTTATTTGGGCTTTTGTTGTGTATTTTTTAATTCGTTTTAATATTAAGCAAATTAATAGTTGGGAACATGGCATTGATTTGATTTTATGTGGTGGAAGATTAAGTTGATTTAGGGGTTCGATGTAATATTGCAAGTTTATTGTTACCCAAAATATGAAATGGTTCTAATACAATTGTTAGTGGTTTATTTTGTTGAATGTTGGGTGTAATTTTAAAATAAAAAAAAGAAAAATTGTTATTTGACTTTCCACAAAGATCATGGTTTGGTATTATAAATTAGAATTTTGCATTCTTCTTAGGTGTGTTGATGATTGAACATATACTCCTGTAATTAATGAGACTAGTGATTAAGATGGATATCTCGTATTCGAAAACTAGCAGTTCAGCTTGATCATGATTATGAGCATACCAATTAGGAAGGCACTTGTGCTAAACCGATTCGGGGTGTGAAAGGGTTTGTCCATTGAACAAATGCACGCGTAGTGACTAGGATAGATGTTTCGTATTCTATGATATAGGTATAGCCATGTTATGAGCTACCAATTGTGATATGATATCTTGAATTGGGTGTGGAAGTTGGTGTATTTGAAACTACTTTTGTTAGGATTTTAGGTACCATTATGAACTTGAGATAATTAATTTGATTTGTTACTGCTACTAATTCTGTTATTGGACATGGTTTTGAGTGATTTGATATACAAAAAGAATGGGTTGATTGAAGGATCTTGTGCTTATTTTTGGGGAGGTACAGGGTTTCAGGTAGGGTTTATGATTGAGATTTGATTCTCCTTCGACTTTCGTGTATGACACATATTCTATTTCTGATGCCTTACAAAACCAAATAATCATGATGCGTCAAGCTATTAGACAAGAAAGGCGAGGTTCCTAATCTAGTGTTACACTGCTTACACACAGTGACACAACCTGTGTCTTTGTTTTTTTTTTTTTTTTTGTTAAATCTGGGTCTCCTGCTCTCTTGATCTCCCAACTAGTAATTGCTGTAAGGTTCGGAAATTGTGTGACCTTTTAAATCCTCAAATTGGCAGGATTTTTTGCACCATGTTCACATCATCGCGTATCAAACCACTTGACTGTTCTTTCCGAATCTTTGCCATCTGAAACTAATGAGGATTTATCATCAAAAAATTCAAACCATTCGAATAGAAATAAATGCGCTATCCCTGGCACCCTCTATAACACAAATACAATAGAGGGCTTTCGTCAGCTTGACAAACAAAAGTTATTGAAAGAAGAAGCAGAAAAGGTGTGTGATACTTCCATTGCCTTTATTGTAAGTTTGATTGCCTAATATGCTTCTCTGAGTAAGATATTTTGTTGGACTGTCAGATTTGGGATGACATTCGTAATGGAAAGGTTGAGGAAGACTGTGCATTACTTTCTAGATTTCTTCTTATCTCATTTGCTGACCTCAAAAAATGGAGGTTCTACTACTCTGTTGCATTTCCTGCTTTAGTGCTTGATCCTCCAGCAACCTTTGTTGATCTGAACCCTGCTTCAGAGTGGTTCAGCGTGGAAGAGGTGTGTAAAAAACGAAAGTCATTTTTATTTTGGATTTTCATTATTGCCTTTGTTTAATCTTTGAGTTGCTGGCATCAATGCATCATAGGCTAAGTCTGTTTCTGCTGCCTGCAATGAGTGGCGTAGTTCAACAGTCACTGCTGGTAATCTCCTCTCTCTCTCTTGTAGAAAGGAAATTTATTATTTTTTGGCCTTACTAATTTTCTGCATAATTTTATACATTCGCTAAATCCTCTTTCCATTTATATCCATTGATGAAGCTTATTCATGTTGTGTAGGTGTTCCCTTCTTTCTTGTTACTATTGCTTCAAATTCACATGCAACAGTTAGACAACTTAGTGAGTGGGAATCCTGTCAACGAGACAGTGAGAAGGTTTGGCAATGTGCTTTAGCTACTTTGTTTTTTCCCCACTTAAGCAAGCAACATTCTAGCGAATTTAGTCTATTTTGATGCTTATATTCTGTGATATGCAGGTCTTGTTTGGCATTTATGATCCTTGTCATCTTACAAATCATCCTGGTTGGCCTCTTCGCAACTTTCTTGCTTTTTTGCATACAAAATGGAACCTGGAAACTGTCCCCTTCTTTTGCTATCGTGAAAATCGTGGTTTTGCTGATATGGGTTTGTCACTTGTTGGTGAAGCGCTGATATCTCCACAAGGTAGTGGAAGAAAATGAGTTACATTTCTTTTTGGTCACTTCTTTTTATTCTCTCTCTATCCCCGCCCCTCCCTCACATGTATAGGCTTCGCTATATGCTAGTATCCATCTAAAAATTAGTTTTGTAGGATGGAAGGATCAGGGACATGTGCCTAAAGCTGTTGGATGGGAACTTGATAGAGAGAAAAAATTAACAAGATCCATTAACCTTGCTACATCTATGGATCCTACTAGGTATGATGTCAATAAACTCATGTCCATATATATTGCTTGTATACTTGTTGTGGTTATCATGTGATTCATATCATGAATTTTTTTTTTTTTTTTTTTTTTTTTTTTTCCCCTGTCAACATTCACAGGTTGGCTGAATCTGCTGCTGATTTGAATTTGAAGTTGATGAGATGGCGGGCTTTACCTTCTCTGGACTTGGGTCTTTTATCTGCTACTAGGTGTCTTCTTCTTGGGGCAGGCACTCTAGGTTGCCAAGTTGCTCGAACACTGATGGTAAGTGCCTATTATGTTTGGAATTTGGATCACAGGATCTGTATGCCTTGTATTCACTTTTTTGCTTTTAGTTAATGTGTTTATAGTATCTTTACAGGCTTGGGGTGTGCGGAAGATTACACTGTTAGACAGTGGCAAGGTGGCCATGTCTAATCCATTAAGGCAATCATTGTATACATTGGAAGATTGTCTCAATGGTGGTCAATATAAAGCCATGGCTGCAGAGAGAAGTCTCAAGTCTATATTCCCAGCTGTGGTATATGATGTTGAACTTTTGTAAAATGACTTTTTACTGTACTCATTTTTGTCAATGACGTCATATTGGCTGCGTGATTGGATTTTTCCCTTAATTTGGGTGCATGACCTGGTCTTTTCCTGCATGTTGTAGGATGCAAAAGGTATTGTGATGGCCATTCCAATGCCTGGGCATCCAGTTTCTACTCAGGAAGAGAGCAAGGTGTTGGATGATTGCAGACAACTACAGGAATTAATTGATTCCCATGATGTAATTTTCTTATTAACTGATACAAGGGAAAGTCGATGGCTTCCAACACTCCTCAGTACCAATTCTAACAAGGTTATTAGCTTATATACATACTTATTTCTTCTTCTCTTCTGACATTTTGATCATTTGTTGCTGTTATAAAGTCATAAACATTTGTCTATGATTTCTCATATAATTCTAATTGCTTCCTTTTCATTCTCCATAAATGAACTGTGTATAACAATCTTAAAAAACATGTATAAAGTTAAAGCATGCAGATATGTTTGGTTGTACTCCTGAGAAGTTCCCAAGTAGAAGGACATTTATCTATCAATAATATCCTAATTGTTTATCTGTGAGTCAAACAACAGGATGAGTGTATATATCTTTGTAATTGTATTGATAAATTTAAGGGGAAAGGTGTAGAAAATAGCTGATTTAGAATTGTTATCATTTGGGTATCTGATGTCCGAAAAAAAAAAAAAAAAGAATTGTTATCATCGATGCTCTCTTATTCCCTGCTTTACATCATTACATGTAACTTTTCTATTGCATTTATATGCCTATGGGTGAGAAACATGAACAGCTTTGTTTCTTAGAATCAAATGATGCATGATTTGCTGTATTTTTCTCAGAGATTTTTTGTCCAATGTGTAGTTGAAGAACCAATCCGATGCATTAGCTAATTTTTGCTTGGTTTTAACTGTTTATTAAAATTATGTGAATTCAGATTACTGTGAATGCTGCATTGGGGTTTGAGAGCTTCTTGGTTATGCGCCATGGAGCTGGTGCTGTCAGTTCCTCTGAAGTGGCTAATGCTTTGTCGTCTGGCATGGGGAACTTGGCTATAAAGGATGAAGACAAGGGGACTAGATTGGGCTGCTATTTCTGCAATGATGTGGTTGCACCAATTGATGTAATTTTCTTCTCTGATGTAGTAATGGAATCTTTTTATTTTTATTTTTTATGCTTTGTTTGTATCAATACCTTTTGTAATGCATCTTTGTTCATGCCTTCTGTTTTGCAGTCAACTTCCAACCGCACTCTGGACCAGCAATGTACTGTCACACGTCCAGGTCTTGCTCCAATTGCTTCAGCACTTGCAGTTGAGCTTTTAGTGGGACTTCTCCATCATCCTCTTGGGTAAATCTTTGTAGATGTTTCCAGAAATGCTCTTTTATGAATTATAGAATGAGAACTTGTACATAGCTCAGTATGTGAGGATCTCTGTTTTGTCGAGAAATATCATTTTTTTATCCTGCCCTTTCTTCTATTGCATGTCCTCCTATGCATATGATTGTATGATTAAATCACATTTAACTTTATTGGAAAGGACTTCTTTTTACTGCATATTGGGATTTAATTTTGGTATATAATGAATGAATTTGCACAGGATGTATGCACCTGCTGAAAATTCAGGCTTAAGTGCTAGTGGAAGCAGTGAGCAACCTCTTGGTATAATTCCACACCAAATTCGAGGCTCACTGTCTCAATTTTCGCAGATGACACTTGTTGGTCATGCTTCAAACAGCTGCACAGCTTGTAGTAGAATTGTAAGTTGTGACTGACTCATGCAATGTGCTTTCCCATCTTACTCCCCTTGTTTGTCTGGGTGGTTTGTTTTCCCTACAAAATTATCTGAGCCAATGATGTTAGGACTGTGCATTGATGATATTTATTAAGTTATTTCTATCTAAACTTGACTGAGTTAATATTGAATGTCCAAGACCTTTCTGCATTCTGAAACCAATCATCCTGCTCTTTGGAAAAGTTTTTAGAAATATTGTTCTGCTTGTGCTTCACATTTGACAATGTTGTATAACATTATGGTATCGATAACTTGGATCTTTCATTACCTTTGTCAAATGATCTTGTTGATCAACCCAAAAGATTATAATTCAAAAGTTATTTTGCAGATTTTCCATATGTTACCTTGAATCATCTAAATTGTGAATTTGAGAATTTCCATTTAAAAATTCTCAAGTTTTTTCTCTACTGGAAACTAGCATTATCATCTACAATGAACAATCTCTAAATCTAATTATCATATAGATTTTTTTTTTTTTTTCATTTTTTTTTTTTTTTTTGGAATAATAATTATCATATACTCCGTAGTATTTAACAGGAAGTATCTTTGTGTATGTATTTTGCTAATCTGAATCTTGTTTTCTGTTAATTGAAAATTTCAGATTGTATCAGAATTCCAGAAGAATGGAATGGATTTCATTTTGAAGGCTATTAACCACCCCACATATTTGGAAGATCTAACTGGACTAACAGAGTTACAGAAGTCGGCTAACTCATTTGATGTAGACTGGGACATCGAAGATGAAATTGATGATGATGATTGTGTCGAAATCTGAAGTTGAAATCCTCACTTCTTCTGATTTTACTTTAGCAGTGTAGTTTGTATTTGCTGTAAATTGAAAAGGAAGTACAAAACACTATCTTGAAAAGGATGTCAATGTCGTTTGATCTAATGATCGTTTAGGTTGGCCACAAGTTTGTTTACTTAACAAATGCTGTAAAGAAACGAAAATAAACCTGTACTATACTCTTTCCATCTGCAAATATCGGTCATTTATACTAATTTGGAATTTTTAGGAGAAATGAAAAAAACTGTTATTACTTTCACTTATAATATAGAGATAGACCCCCTCACCCCATTCTAATGTCTTCTTGAAATCATTTATCTTTCCTTTTATATTTCTCTCATGTCTTACGTCTATCTCGAGGATAATGTTGGGAATTTTCCATGTGTGTGGAAAGCAATTGTCTTGCATTGACTAAGTGGTAGGAAGGTGACTAGTTTATAACGTTTGTGGACTATTTTTTCTAGCAACATATGATCTTAAGATGGAATCTCACTTGATTTGTTTATTTTTGTTGTTTCTTGTGTTCTAACATTGAAATCTGTATTATTATTGCCTACTACAGTATTGATATACTTAGGGAGCTACAATTCTACCAAATAACTTTTCTATGACTTGTATCTCATAATTGTATAATCTCTTATTAATACACAAATGGCAATGGTACTATGCCCCTCTAATTTGCCCACTAACTGTATTGATAAATTAGTTGTATTTAGGAAACAATATAAAATTCGATACATTAAATATTTATTCTTGTTTTGTGAGGTCTTGTGCATCACAAGTTCACAAAAGTTACAGTACTATCAACTATTAGAGGTGTCAAAACCAAATCGAATCGAAAAAAATTATTCGTTTTAAACTGTAACCGATTCGATTTGATCTAAGAAATTCAACACCCGAACCCGATCTGTAACCTAACTGAACTCAACCCAAATCCGAATTTGACCCTATTTGAACTTAACCCAGCACCGATTTAACCAGACTTGAACTCAACCTGAGACCGATCTGACCCGAATTGAACTCAAACCGAACCAATTTGACCCGATCTGAACTTAATCCGAATCGAAATTGACCTAACAAACACCCGATTCAATCTGATTTGTTTTTTTATCCGAACTGATATTAACTCGACCCGATTTTAAGTCCACCTGATTTTGACTTGACATGATTTCAAACTAACCATAATTTTAAACCTAACCTATTATTTACTATTTTTTACAGGACATGTTCGGCAAAATATAGCTGTGAAGGTAGCTGTTAGCTGTCAACAAGCTGTTAGTTGTGAAGATAGATAATTTAGGTATGAATGTTTGGCAAAATAGCGGTTGACTAGCTGTTACACATAAAAATCAATGTATATTTTTTTAAACGATAGATTAAATTTTCAATAGCTACCTCTAATTTCAAAAGCTACCATTTCTAACTTTTGATAAAAGCTACTTCCACCATTGAAAGTTCCCCCAACCACTAAAAGTTACATCAACCACTACATTGCCAAACACTCATATTTTTTGTTAACTAGTGATTTGATTTGGTCAAACCACTAAAAACTAGCGCCAAACACGCCCTAATGACACGATATGAAAAAATGATACATGAATAACTTGATATCTACCCAATAACAAGATTAAAAAAAAAAAAAAAAAAAAAACCAATAATTCTTTTAATTTTAAAAATGTACTTATTTGAATATTAAATTTAGTCAAGCCAACCAAAAATTCAGCCAAACACAAAAAGTATCTGAATCAGAATTGATCGAATAATGAATCAACTTTAGTAACCAAACCAAACTTAACAAAACCGAAATCAATCGAATCGAAACCAACCCATCCAAAGTCATCTGACCCGAGATTTACCTGGTCAAACCTGTTTTGAACCCGATCCGATATTATCCAAACCGAATATGAACCGATCTGAAATTGACCCGACCCAAACCCGATTTGGGCTCGACAGATCGTGACCTGAATTTGACCCGACCCGAAAGTGACCCGATCCAACCCGAAGCGGGTTAAAAGGGTAATTTAGAACCGAATATATCCGACCCGAACAGACCTGACTCGAATAGACCCGACCCAAACTCCATCCACTTATCCGAAATGACACCTCTATCTACTAATCTACTATGGCACACCTCATAGTAGCACTATGCAAGTGCATTGTCATGGAAAAATTTAGGCAACAAATAATACAAGTTAACGTCGACAACAAAGTGATGGCATCATCTATATATCGTTGCAAAAGATATCCAACTTTATCGTGACATTACAGTTATATTCCCACGTGAACCTTAGCTTCTACGTACTAATTTATGTGATTGTTATTTGCCATCATAAAAAATACTCATGCTATCTCCCTGGCTTGTTGTAACAGTGACGGTGCCACGGAGGTGGGGGAAAGACGGAAAGTGGTGGTTCAGTGACAAAATGTGGGTGTGAGGCGGCGGTGTTGTGAACATAGGATGTAGACGACTATGGTACGGCATTAGGTAAAGGTGTTTTGGTCATGCAATATGGTGATTTGAGTAATTTTTTGGTGGCATTTAGTAACTCCTTAATTTTATGGGTGTTTGGTTTGTAGGATAGATTATGAGGATTAGAGTGGGGTGAGTGAGAACACTAAGCTAGAAGTGGGGATTAATATTTTAGTAAGATAATGTCATTTCCATATTTGGTTCGTGCTTGGATTATATTGAAGTTCAATTTGCTAATTAATAAAGTCAAACTTTTAATAGGAGAGTATACAAGACGAGCTCAATCAAGTATTATCTTGTAGTTAATGTTTATGTTCGTTTAATTTAGCCATGTTCAAGCATGACCTCAAGCTTTCAAGTAAGGATATCAGTAGGGCGGGTCAAGAAGGAGACCCGCCCCATCCCCGCCCCATTTGAGGCGGGGATGGGTCCCGATTTGGTGGATGGTGGGGCGGGGATGGGGATGAAAACCATACCCGCCATGGGTGATGGGGCGGGGGTGGATTTTAGGTTGTACCCGCCCCATCCCCGCCTCGCCCCACCTGCCCCATTTCGTACCCACCCCATGCCCACATTTATATATTTACAAAAAAAAAAAAATTGTATACTTTTATACTATTTTATATTAAAAAAATTTATGTAAAATAAAGTAGTAAATTATTAAATATAATATGTTGTAATAAACTTAATATTAACAATGATTATTATTATTATTATTATTATTATTATTTTATTGTAATCTACATTAGTACATTACGTAATATTGTTGTATTTAAGAGGCGGGGTTAGATGGATCTTGGGTGGGGATTAGGTGGGGGTGGATATCCAAGTGGGGGATGAGGAGGGGATGGTTCTGGAATTGTACCCGTTGGGGCGGGGATGAGAATAAATTTTGGACCCGCCACGGGGATGGGGATGGGGATGAGAATGTTAGGCGGGGATGGGGATGAGAAATCCAACATCCGCCCCGCCCCGCTCCGTTGACATCCCTACTTTCAAGCAAGCTCAGCTCAGCTCATAAATATTTTGTTATGTCAATTAGTTTCGTATGTTATATGAGTAATATTTAATCTAAAGGTGTATATAAGACGAAGTACTTTTGTATCAAAATAGTATATAAAATGCGTTGTTCATCGATCATTCATATAATCAAACAATTCGTTCATGTATGAACGAGTATACATTTGTATTCAAGCAGATTTATGAAACAAATTTCAAAACATGCTCAAACTTTGCTCATGTACCTCTTCCATTGTTCCATAAATAAATGAGAAAAATTTGTCTCTTTAGCTTAATGTATCTATTGTTGTGTCTTTAACTAGCTTAATACGAGTATCTTTTACAAGTAAATTTGCAATGCTCACCCAATCGGCCCCACCTCTAAAACACTTCAATTATTCAATAAATAAAAAAATAGTTTTATCACTAATTTAAAGTACAATACATACATATCCTCATTCCTTATATTATTGACACAAAACGAAACATAGCCATTTATTAGATATTACTCCCTCTGTCCCATAATACATGATACAGTAAATATTGCACATATGCTAATGCACTACTTTGACTTTATTTTTTATATAATTAAATATTAATAAAAATTATTTTAAAAATTATATTATAAAACTTTATATTAATACCTATCTAACAACATATTTTATGATTAAATATGCTTTTATTTAGGGGTGTCCATTCAATTTCGGTTTGGATTTAGCCCAAATCCAATCTGATTCGAAATAAATTTCGGTTTTTAATTTTCAAATCCAATCCGATCCGAATTCCTTACCAAATCCAATCAGATTCAATCCGAATTATTATTCGGTTATTTGATCCAATCTAAAAATCCGAATTAAAATACATTGCTAATTTTTTGGGTCTACTACGATTATAAAAATAAAAATGCAATAATAAAAATTCAATTCTTAAAAGTATAGTTGTAGACGATTAATACAAGTATTGAAAACATAGGTTTACACGATTAATATTAATATAATTATAAACATAGTTTAACATGATTAATATTAACAATACTTATTTATAATATAACGCTATAATATTTCGGTTATTTCGGTTTTTTGGATTCGAATAAGGTCAATCCGATCCGATCCAAAAATCCGAATTTTCAAAAAAATTCAATCTGATCTGAGTCGATTTAAAGTTCGGATCCGATCCGAATTTATAATTCGGTTTGGATTGGATTGGATTTCGGTTTTTATCCGAATAATGGACGCCTGTACTTTTATTATGTTAGTACAAAATCATGGTCAAAGTTAATGCATAAATAGTGAAAAAAGTCCAACGTCTCATGTATTATGGGACGGAGGGAGTAACTAAATGAAATATATCTAAGATAGGGGGACCTTTAGATTTGTGTACCTTCTTAGTTTAAAAAAAATTATTAAATGAGAATGAAAAATAGTTATATTTCCTCCGTTCTTTTTTTATTGCACCATTAATGATTTCATGTTTGTCAATGTATTACTTTATCTATTAATATCTTTAATTACACTTTTGTAAAAATTATAAAAATTTGATATTTGAAATGTAGATTTCAAGAAGAATCTAACTAGATTTCACATGACTATATTTTTCCTTATGAATAAATCACAAATGATAGTGAAAAAACATTATGTAAATAGTGTAAAAGTGCTTATGATGCAATAAAAGAAAAACGGAGAAAATATATGCAATTTTGTGCAAACCAAAATGGGCATAATATTCTGAACTACTACGTATTTTTTTGTGCAAAATTATTAGGTTATAAAATTGGCCTTGTAAACTTTATCCAATAGAGACCATATCCGCTAACTCTCTAATAAAAGTTCTTGTACATTGATCATAAAATTATACACACCTTTTTTATTTTTTAGATTAACCATGAACCAAATTGGTGCTAAAAGTTACATCATGCATCCATTATTTCAGATTTTAAAGGAACTATAAAGTCAGGATTATTGCAATATTAAACATAAGTTTACCAAAGATACGAGTATTTAGAAGATTAACAATTACACTGCTTAGGAAGTGTTGCCAGGTTGTTTGCTGCCACTATTTATCTTGGGGATACACTGTAGGCTCTTCAATCCAGTCTGCACACTGCCACAGCTAACTCCCTCTGCCCACTTCGTATCAAATACGATACTCCATCCGGCTTTTGCCAGCCAAATATCGCAATTAAGGTCTTATTTTCTTCATCTTATATATTGATTATAGAGTATATATAGCTAAATGTTTAGGACTCACAAGTTTAGAGCTTTATTTACCACACTTTTTATTCACTTATATAATTATATTCTATGTCTAATAACTTCTAACAAAATAAGTTTAGATCAATGATCGTGTCAAACAACACTTTGTGTATCTTTAGCCTAATAAGTTCAAATAAGATAATTTCGAATATGATAATTAAAAGTTAATGTTAATTAATAAGACATTAAGTAAGTAATCATCAATCCAGAAAGAAGTATCAATATCTGACGAAACAAAATTGAAATACAATGGAATTCCACGTGAGGCAATTCCGAAAAACGAGCTATAACTTCCAATTCTGAATAATTCTTTATAATTGAATAGATTAATTATTAAAAATCCTTCAATATCACACTTTCATCGATTCAGATTGCGACACTGTTGTTCCCTTGCATGTGCCCCTCAAATTAATTCCCCCACCTTCTCTTTCTATTATTTTTGACACTCTTATTTAATTTCCCAACTTCCTCACTATATATATAATCTAACTTTAATTGAATTCAAACTTTCAAACATGCCAGAAAAACCCACAAAAGTAAATAAAAAGATTGAAAACATGCAAGAAAAAGTAAAACCCTCTTCTTCTTCAACTAAATGGGTCATCATTTATTCATCGAAACTCCGTTATTTCCTTAAAATGCGTCGGTTTTTCACTCAACCAAAAAAACCCACCAAGAAACAGGCTTTACCTTGTGAATTCGATCATCCTACTACCAACAAAGATGATATAAACGATGAATTATTAATAGAACCGAAAGCGGAGGAAGAAGAGGAGGTAGTTATGGAAGTAGAAAAGGATGATGGTGATCGGGCCGAGGGCGTGGTGCTGCAGACGGCGGTGAAGGAGCTTTTATTTGGGAAGTGGGAGGAAAAACAAAGCGCCGTTAAAAAGATAAAGTGTTTGGCGTCGGAAAGTGTTAAGATGAGAAAGTGTTTAGCTGAGTTGGGTGTTATTCCTCCTTTGGTTTCTATGGTTGATTCTGACGTTGTTTCTCGACGCTTGTTGGCTGTTCAAGCCTTGACTCACCTTGCTGATGGCACTTTCACGTATGTCTTCTTCTCTTTCATTTCTTCCTTAGGGTGGCATATATCATTTTCCGATTTTTATAACCTGTAACATAGATACTATTTTCATGATAATTTGAATGTTATTACTTGATGATTAACTTAGACATGATATTTATCTTCTTCTTAATTCTTAGTGAACTACTTAAATTTTGAACCTTACTCGATGATCAGGTAATTTAACATGTAACATGCTCCTTGATCGAGATGTTTGTCTAAAACCAAAACCCGAGTGGTGATTAGTTATGATGAATTGATAATAATTAGAATATAGTTTTAGTTTGTTGTGTATATGACCACAAATGATGGTATTGTAGATAACGAGAAATGATACGAAAAACTAAGCTAGGTGACATTCAGGTCATTATATATATTAACTTGACTAACTTATTATACTAATTGGGCTATTCATACTTGTAATGACAATGGAAAATGATAATTATCCAAAGTTGGAGCCAGTTGTGTAGCTTGAGAATATGACTAATGAAATAAGACATGGTAGTGCGCTTGCTCTATTTGGCCTCTTGTTTTATTTCCCTTTCCATTATTTGTTTCAAGAAGAAAGTGGGTGATTGGCTTTTAGTAGTCCTTTTTTATGTAGCCAAATTATAATTATGATGTGGGGTTTTATACATCTTGTTTTGAATGCTATTTTTGTTAATTTGCACTTTTCCATTGAAATGCGTAGTACATTCGAAGGATAATAGATGCTATCAAGAGAATTTAATTTCATTTTTTTTAATAACAAATAGAAATTGCAATATTTTTGGAGAGATATTCCATTACCATAACAATAAGCTCGTAATTTATTAATATTCCCTCCATCTCTTGAAATTGTTTGATGCTAATTTCATAATATTACTTCGTATAAGATCACAACTTTCAAATAAGATGGGTGTAATGTGTAAAATTACTCTAACTATGATCAAAAGTCACTCGGTTGAAATAGAAGTTATTTAACTATTTATTGATAAAGGTTGCTCTCTTTACAAAACTGCACTCCTTAAAAATAAATCACTTATAAAGTATAAAGGTAGTACATTACTTCTTATAGAAATTACCTGTAAAAAATCAATTCCCAACATAGAAACGATTACCAAAATAGGTTAAAAGTTCCTCTAAGGTCTCTTCACCTTAAAATTATAATTTTTAGTAAAGATAGTTTAAGTTCAGTATTACAATTAAATAAGTTCAGTTCAGCAAAAATAAGTTTGAATCAGTAAAAATAATTTTTATCTAGTGAAATTCAATTTTTTCAAAGAACAAATATCACTGAGAATCAGTAAAAATAAGTTTTAATCAATAAAATAAATTTCACTTTAATAAAAATAACTTTAATTCAACAAAAATAATTTCACTTGAGAAAAAATAAAGTGAAGAGAACAAGTTCTAATTTCTTTATTTATTTACATAACCCAAAGCCAAGCATTAAAATAAAGTTGATGTACATCCAAGTTTCACAAAAAAGGTGTTATAAGATTACCCAATAAAAACTCAATTTTGGGGATATTCCTCCGATTGTGTGATTAGCTTTCATCATCAAACATTAATTTGACACATTCAAAATTCTAATCCTATTGGTGAATATCGCATTAGATGATATAGTGGAAGTCCACCTAAATTACTACCAACTTAGTCTATATTGAAATAGAAGTTGCCTAATAATTGGTTAATTTTCTACTAACACTATCTTGTAGGCACTATGAGTAGGTGATGTCAGTATTAAACAAAATTAATTAGAGAACAAATCGACCATATACTATTATACTCCACCTTATAATCACCAAAATTTACTGACAAGTTAGGTAATGACAGTAATTTAGAGTTTAAATTAATTAGGGCTTCAATTAAGAGGTACGAAAATCAAAGTTTTTTAAAGTGGAAGTTTGTAGCACCGACGTACGAAACACATTTTTGCTAGGTTGTCAAGATATAAACTGATGAATAAACAAAGCACTAGTTTATATAGTGAAAATTCAAAGACACTTCGTTTGACTCCCTTTTTTCATATGTTTAGTAATGGTCGATAAATGATGTTGATACCACAAAGAATTTTGTACCACTAACATACAAATTGCATAATTGATGGTGAAAGAAGATATAGTTCATACTTTTCAATTATTGAGATTTATCTCATCTCTAAGTATAATACTTCGGAATAAATAGTCATGTATACGAGTATTTTTTTTTGAAATAACTATTGGTACTCCGTATGTGATTTGTGCATGCATGCGTAAAGATAGTTGTAATGGAAATAATGTATTGGTATTTGATATATAGTCTGTGTTATGTAAGTGATATTTTTAAGTTCAAGCTAGAATATACAGTCTCGATGTTTTAATTGATTGTGGTTGGAATTAATTAAAACCACAATCAATTTATAATTGAAAAAAATTTGTAAGAGAAATTTAATTGCAATTACTTCGTATCTAATTTCAATACACGACCTAGAAATTGATTTATTTTTTTTGACGAGACTAGAAATTGATATTTTGTTGATTAGTAAATAGGCTATAATTATTGCATTAGAAACAATAAAGTATAAATAAAGTATCTAAGCCCGTGAATTAAAGTTAATAATGTGTTTGAATGTTAACTATCTTAATCAGTTGATATGAGGCATTTAAAATCAGTGATTGAATTTCGTCTACATTGTCGGCTTTCATGACACAAAGATTTAAAGAGAGAATGAGATGAATTACTTAAGAGTAATGACAGGAACCGGAAGGTGCGGCTGCTGTCCACCAGAACCTAATGTAGTTGGACTAGTTGGGGTGGTGGAATGACACCCACCAGGCTGACAATTTGCACACTCCAACAAGCACATACATAATTATATCTATCATTCATACTTAACTAGTATCATTAAGTTAGGGCACTAATTAATTTAATCATTAATAACTTTATCATATGATGATGGGTCATTTGTGTACATGAATTTTCTGATCCTGATATCTTAAAGTCATTATATTATGGGCATCAAGTTGACTTAAAGAACAAAATATATATAATTCCAAGAAAGATCATACTATTTAACCGTCACACATGACCTTATATTATATTCCACACCAATATAATGGTTGTGGACTTAATGGTCCATTTCAATTATATAAGTTGATAATATTGTCTTAAAATATTAATTTCTATGTAGTAGATTAATGTAGGGTATAGATCCATCTTTTTGTTCACTTTTGTAGTTTTGTGGTGTTTAAAGCTTTTGGATTTGAATTTTGTCTCTTGTGTTTGGATTCTATTTTAATTACATCTTTGCTTTATTTTATTCCAAAAAAGCTCAAACCAATATACAAATATCCATTGATTTTAGGATTTGATGATAATAATAAAAAAAAATACTAAATATTGAAATTTAATTGAAATATATCAAACAAAAATTAGATCACACTTAACTTTTTAAACAATGATCATATACAAGTATTTGCATAATATACCGAACAAACACAAGGATAATAACAATTTACATTAAAAAAATTCCTCATAATTAGGATTATTCCTAAATAATTGATAAATAAAGATGGTTGAAACCTAGCTAGGATATATTATCATGAGCACTTTATTAGTTTTTAATTAAGGACTTAGGATTTTTTATTATTTATTTATTTATTTATTTTTGACAACTGCGTAAACCAACAATGCATGCAAATGATAGAAAACAATTAGTACTTATGACTTAGGACTTGAGACTCAAGTATATACATTAACCACACAAACATTTTTCCTATACAAGTCATGAATTTATTGATAATTTTGTCTTTATTAACTATCCAACATATTGTAGAATTGAAATTTTGAAGTGTATTGTAAGCAAGTATTAAGCTAGGGCATATATTGGGTTTAAAGGTCAAAGGACCTATTCTTTTGCAGGCATGCTAACGAATTTGAGTTGTATTTGCAGGAACAAAGCTCTAATATTAGAGGCAGGCATCTTAACAAAACTACCAACAAATATTGAAGAAATTGATGAACAATTTAGCCATGATTTTTCTCTACTACTCTTGTCCATATCTTCACTACTAAACTCTCAATTCCCTTTCAACCAATCCACACTTTTTTCGTTCTTACTAAAAGTTCTCCAATCAAAGATAACCTCCGAAAATTCAAAAGAAGCATGCCTTGGCACCCTACACAATCTCTCTACCATGTTGGAGAACTCAGGACCATTGATCTCAAATCGAGTCGTGGACATTCTCTTAAGCCTACTATCCTCGTCTAGGGAAATTATTTTGGAGCAAGCTCTAGCAACATTGGGAAACTTAGTGGTAACATTGATGGGCAAAAAGGCCTTAGAAGATAGCGCGATGATGCCAGAGAGTTTGATAGAGATACTAACATGGGATAACATGCCTAAATGTCAAGAGCTCTCAGCATATATATTAATGATCTTAGCTCACCAAAGCTCGAAACAAAGAGATAAGATGGCGAAATCAGGAATTGTACATACTTTGCTTGAACTTGCCTTGTTGGGGAGCCCTTTAGCTCAGAAAAGAGCCCTAAAATTGCTACAATGGTTCAAAGATGAGAGACAAGTTAGGGTTGGACCACATTCCGGACCACAAACAAGGTTCGTTACACAGGGTTCGCCAATGAGTGAAGGCGAAACTAGTGAAGGGAAGAGGTTGATGAAGAAGATGGTACAACAAAGCCTACATAAAAATATGGAGGTGATTACTAGAAGAGCAAATGCTACAGGGGAGACCTATAAGCTTAAGTCTTTGGTCATTAGTTCAAGTTCTAAGAGCTTGCCTTATTGATTAAGAGATTAATTTTCAAAGCGTTTTTAGTATGAAATTTTGGGATTCAACATTGCACATAGTTTTTAAAACCTCAGATCAGTTTGTTTCTCTTGCTCAGAGAAATTTAATAGAGGGCAGAGGTTATAGTTTAATTTTTTTTGAAGAGGACTTGTGTATTATTTTAGCTGTAAATTTGAATTGTTGATATGATCACAAAATTTAAAGTAAATTTTCTTCATTCTATGTTGCAAGTTTGCAACAGGTAGACTTAAGCTCTACAGTAATATTATATCCTCTATTATTGAAAATTAATAGCTAGCAATGCTTGTCATCCTGTCATGTATCACCATTACTTTGGCAAATAATGTGGAAGTAGTACCATGTCATAATATTATTGATCACTTTTGTTTTCTCACCAAAAATTAACAGTTGTGAACATTAATCCTTAAACCCATGGCCTTATATTGTAGAGTTGAAATTTAACCTAACACTCTAATCCTTACGTATAAATAAATAAATTAAAATCCAACAAATTAAGAAAGTCATGGGGAATGATTAAAAGTGTTTATATTTTAAAATCAATGAAAACAACATCTATAAGTCTATAACGGGTTTGGTGAAATTAGCTGTCAATAATGTTAGATCAGTTGCAAGTTTTAGTTTGGATCATAAAACATGTCAGATGATTACTACTCCTTCCGTTTCGTATTAATCGCAACACTAGGGTGTTCATAAAGTTTAAGAAAATTTATAGGGTTAGGGTCTAAAAGAGGTGTCTTTTTTTGTTTTTTATTTATTTATTTTTTTTACAGTTCCTATTTTCCTATTTTGGAGATCCAAAGTTTTGTTCTTGTTTTTGTTTTTGGATAGTATGTAAAGACTATTATGTCCTCATTATTTTTAACTTTATTCATTGAACTTCCTAATTTACCGTCAAATTATCCACTTGCCTTGTACTTTTTTCTACTTTCTCTCTCTAACTTTTGTCTATAATTGAACTTTTCACTTTTTTCTCCTTAAATTATTCAATTGCCTTGTACTTTTGTCTAAATTTTTTTCCACTTTCTCCTCTCATTTCTTAAATACCGTGAAAAAACGCAAACATGAACTATATATTGGGACGGAGGGAATATAACGTATTGTTGGTAGGAGAGAAAAATAATAAAAAAAGTAGTATAAGTGGGGTCGGTAGTAAAGAGAAATAATACAATATTGTGAGAGTGGGGTTAGTGGGAGAGAAAAATTATAAAATAATGGTGGGTACTTTCCAAATATAGTAGTGTTACTATTAATATGAAACAGATGTAAAAGCAAAGTGTAGCGATTAATACGAAACAGAGGGAGTAACTAATATAGAATCGGGTTCGATTAAGAATACATGTTACCAATTTCATCCATTAATCGAGTATGAATCGAAGTCAGGTCCGTTTTTAACAACTACTTTGTATAAAATTTTCAAAAGAACTTGTGACCCTAAATGAGAATAGCACAGGACACGAGCGTTATCCGAGCTCCCAAATAGTTGGGGGTATGCAAAACTATTGAAGTGAACCAACCTTAATTTTCACATAAAAATGGCGGACACTTTGTTAGGACCTTCCCCTTCACTCTCTCTCCTTTGCAATCCTTTACCTTTCCTACCTTCTTCGTTCCACTTCAAATCCACCATTTCTAGCAATCCCACTAGATTCAAATGCACTTTCTCTTCTAATTCTCAATCTCCTCTATTAATGGCTTCCTCTTCAACTTCTCCTTCTCCTTCCCAATCTTCTACCACTTCTCCACCTTCTCTACTTGTTTTTTCTGGTAAGTTTTCTCTCCCCTTCTCTCTTTGTAGTTTATTTAATACTTCTTGTGACGGGATTTATAGATACGTTGATCGTGTAATTTGAACTAGTAATGTGATATTTGGATTGATTGATGGAGTATATAGTTATTGCGCTTTGCAATGTTATCTTGCTTTATTACAGTGGATGTAATGTTTAATTTGATATATGATTGAAATTTGCCGCGAAATTTGTGGGATTTGTGTGATTATAGTTATTGATGTATGACCCATTTTCAAATTATTGGAATTGAGAAGGGAATGAGAGTGTAGGAGACTCACTAGTGTTATAAAAATTTGTATATATATGCTGAAATTTTGAGAAAATTCAGCTTCTCAAAGGTTTTATTGTATGCTTTTATCGTCGAGGATCGATTTGTAACATTCCTAATTTTACCACTTTGGTTGATGGTGTTGTGTGTTGTTGGTGTAATAGTGTTGGGTCGATTGAGGAAAAGAATGCAGTATGCACCCTTATTATCTGTTCGCTTCATTTAGTTTTTTAATTATGTATCCTTAGTCCCTTGAAAGTTAAAAGTTTCAGTGCACTATTATAAGCCGATATTGACTCCTAATGCGAATTTTGCTTATTTGGTTTGTTTGAATACTTGTGCAATGACTGGCAATTTTTGAATGGTTTGCCTAGTCTTAAGATACTTGCTTTGGAATGGAGTATTGTGAATTGTGAACTTCTCAAGTCAAGACTAATTTTATAAGGAGTGTTACTTAGGAAGTAATGAATTTCTCCCAAATCCTGGCAATTACGAGTGATGAACAAAAAGAGGTTTGGAGCAACATTTTACTAGTCCAAGCCTCTAATGGGGGTATTTGATTGAGGATTGGAAGAGAGGTTTGTTGGTCATTTTACACAATAAAGTTGTTATCAAATTACATCTATTAACCAAACCCTTCTGCACAAACAACTAATATAATCAGCTAATACAACAAGTTATGTACTACTAATTGCCAAACAGGGCCAATTTTGTTTGTTTACTGTAAAGCTAGTTGATCCTGTGTAGTAGTCATTTCTTGTTTTTGTTGATATACAAGTACTTCAATGCATCACCTTATGTAGTAATTTGCTAAAACACTGTCTGATTATACCTTGCTGGCTAGAAGAAAAATTTTCGAAGGTTGGCATACTAAAAGGCATTTATATGTCTTACTGATGCAACTTCCTGCTCTTACAAGACCTAGTATAACTTTGCTATTCCACAACCTTCAGCAGCTTTAGCTTTACCCTATACCCTTCAATCGATCATCTAGTGTTCTGCTTTCATTCCTAGTGGCAAAAGGTACTAATTACCATTGAATCAGTTGAAGTATGATTTAATGAGAAAATGCATTTTGTGAATTTTTTTGTCCACAATAGTGAATGGATGTCCAAGGTAACATAGAAGTAGCTGCATATCAAGTAAACACTTTTAATTAGAGTGATACTGATAATGAAATGCATTTAAGTTTTGTCTTATATGATTGTGAGTGTTCGGGTCAATATATAATTTTATTATCCTGACTAGTTAAAACCATAAATGTGTGAGCTTTCTGATGTCATTGTACTTTGTATGGCTCAAAGACTGTTAGGGATTTTTTGAATCATAAATATACAGCTACACCTAGTTTAGATCGTGCACGCAAACACGTTTACGAATTACTTGACTGTTGAACATTAGTTTTTGTCTGAACATGGCTACTGGTATAAAGTTGAGCTTTTTCTGCTGATTTTGAGGGTTCTTGCTCTTTAACATTAGTGCTATTGCAGTGTTTTCAGTTCTAATGCAGTTGGCTATCTATCTATTTTGTCGAAAGTCACATTATCAAGTATTTTACATCAAGACTTTTGTGGCCAACAAAATTCATCTTTTGCCTGCCCATCTTCCACATAGTTGAAGGGAGTTTGAATTAATAGATTTTCAACTTTAGACAGTAAAAATCTATTATCAAATACCCTTCTAAGCTGTCACTCAGTTTTATTTTTTGTGATATAGTACGAAGATGGTTGTCTTGTATATCAATAGTTTCATGAAATTATCCGCTTTTTTATTTTATATATAAGGTGAATGTTAAAGGACTTACTTGCAATTGTAGGGGTTTAGCTTGTGTACATCTTAACAACCTTATCCTATCCTAGTTGGGAGCCTTACTATATGCATTAGGGTTAATGCTATCATATATTCATATGTTACTTCTGTACATATTTGATGTGTACATGTTTGTCCGTTAAATGTTTGCTTCTTCTTAAATGTCGTTTGTTACCCCTTTCATTGTCTTTTGAAATGCTGTAGGGGGCACTGCCTTTAATGGGGTAGTGGAGGAGCTGAAAAAGCTGACAACTCGTGTTGCACATGTTCTTCCTGTTTCTGATGATGGAGGAAGTACAGCTGAGATCGTCCGTGTGCTTGGTATGGTATTCAGCTCATAGCTGCAATTATTCCAAGTTGTTATATTCCTATTCCAAGTGAGATTTTTACTTGTAAAGTGAATATTTAATCCATTAGATTCAATCTAGAATCTTGAGGTTCAGCGTATGGTCGCCATTTGTTTGTGAAACAGTAACTTATGCTAATTAATTTACAAGATCAAGTAAAATGTCCTATTAAGTCCCATAAAGGAGAAAAAAGAGTCTGATTGTGTTTGTGTATCAAGATTTGAGGTCAAAGAAAGATCGGTAAACTCCCAGCATGCCCATATTTCGGCATGTTCTTTTATGTGATTAGCAGTGTATACATGTAATGTGATAAGTAAAATGAGTTGATGTTGGGTAATGGTTGCTTGTATAATGATGAAATTATGTCTATACTCGTCAAATCATTATCTCTCTTATGTTAAGATAAGGTATTTGAATTGTGAAGGTGGTCCAGCCGTTGGAGACATAAGATCAAGATGTTTGAGGCTCTCTGACGAAAGTACTGCAGAGGCTCTTGCTGTTAGACAATTATTAGGTCACCGTTTAGCTCTACATGCTAAAGATGCAAAATCAGAATGGTATGATGGATAGTTGCTCAGTAGAATCATCAGCTATGATGCAAGTTATTTCTCTTGCTAATGCATTTCTTATTATCAGTTATAACTGATATTAATTCATAAACAGTGTCTTGTTGAAATTCCTAAGCCTTTGATTTACGCCAATATGATTGCTTCATATTGTTATAGCTGATAAACTGAACATCTACGTTTTTTAGAATAAATCCTTTACTTCTTTATGTTTTCTTTGTTTTGTCTTCGGCAACCTGACTTTAGTGCCTTCTAGTATTCTGCAATTTAGTGGCTGTCTATTATACACAGGTTCTCTTGTTTTATTTTGAAGTCAATCTCAATTATTTTCTTGGAGCTTAATAGAGCAATAAATATGCTAATTGAAGTATTTGACAGGTATGACATTGTTGAAGGGGAGCATTCACTATGGGAGGAAGTATCAGTACCATATAGGGAAACAATTCGAGCCTTTCTAGTTTACTTTCAGCAACAGGTAGAATGAATGCTTATCTACACAACCTTATTCAGAAATTAGTTCTTAACTGAGGTTGGCAATTGCCTCCAATCCTGTAGGTAGCCCATGAAACTTGGGAGATGGGAATCCTAATCAGTCTCTTTTATTTTTTCTTCTAAGAAGTTTAAAAGTCGAAAGGTTGTTTTACCATACACCCCCCCCCTCCCCCCGGTGCGGTGCCCCACCTCTTTCAATTCACAAGTTCCCATGATCCATTTCACTTTCTATGTTCTCACTGGCAGGGCATATATTTAATATTGAAGTGCGAAGGTGAAGAATTATTGCTATAGTTATAAAATACATAGAGGACATTGCATTTGGTATATTATATCACCAGGGGAAACAGTTCTACTGAGTACAGAGTTATATTTTATTTTGTCTGTTAGAACACCATGCTTCAGCTAGAAACTCAGTTTCCGAATTGTAGGTATTTTGAAATTGAATCTGTCTGTATAATATTCGAATGAAATACACATTTCTTTTTTTTTTTTTTTGATATTATTGAAAACTATTATAATAGAAATGATCCCATTGTATTTTCTTTTTTGGTAAAAGAGTATAATAACTTCTTAAGGGACATTACTAAAGTGATCTATGAGAAAATAAATAACATAATATTGGTTTGATGATTTAATTGCATCAATACTACTATCTTCTATGAATTTCCTTAATTTGTTAATTTATTTATTTTTCATAAATTTCTCTTTCTTCATCTATTCCAACAAAAATGGTGTTAATAGTAAAAACACAACCCATGTATAAGAGTAAACATAGCTGTACTTAGAGTTTCTTTGACATGATGTCTAGTGTGTGATAATTTTATTGTCTGTCGAAATGATGTATTGTTCATGCCACTTCATATCCCTGACGTTGGTAAATATGTGGATATTACATTTGATTTGTTTAATTTCTCTGTAGCACCTTTGCTGTTTTGTCAAAGTTTTCTGATGACACACATTGATGTAGTTGTTTATTTATATTTTAATGATGATACAGTTTCAAATTTCTTAAAATATGTTTGCAGATTCTCATGAGATCTGAAGCGAAATTCTGTTTCAGCAATGGCAGGTACAAGTTTCACTTTAGTAATGACATAGATTCTTAAGCTTTCTTCTGTTCAGTATCTGCAGGTACAGCATGGCAACTGGTGGTTTATGTTTTTAGTTGATCCATATGATATTTTACTCAGCCAAATTTGTTTGCTGCAGCATTGGAAATTTTTTCTTCGCGGGAGCCCGGATATTCTTCCAGTCACTAGAGTCAGCAATATTTTTGTTTTCACGTGTATCAGAGATTCCTAAAGAAAGTCTTGTTCTCCCAGTCATATCCACCAATGACAGATTGACACTGGGATGTGAGCTGTGGGTATGATCATAATAAATGCTTGGTTTTTTTTTTTTCCTAGTGTTACATGATTTCCTCATTTTGTATCGAGGATCTCCTCTCTGTTGGATTTGTCGCATGAATTGAGTTGCTCTACTTGCATTTTTGGTGGGCCTAGTGTAAATTTGAGCATTGTTGTTTCTACAAAGCATAAATGCCTGCGATTGGCTAAGGGTACACAATTGTAATTATACAAGGAGTCCTAATTCCTGAAGAAATAACTCAAGATACTTGAAAACTTAAAAAAGTTATATCCTATACCTGTTGATCAAGTTGGATATCTTTCATTGTGCTCTTGGTGATTTTATTTTTTATTTGGAAAAGCATTTTCTGGTAAATAATAATGAAGAGATAGCTGGGGTTGAATATGGCTTATAATAATCAATGAGATCATTATGTTGTTTGGTGAAGATCCTTGGTCTCATTATGGAAGATATTGGATACCTCTATCCCTTATAAATTTTTCTTTTTGAGTGAAGGGCTGTGTGACTGGGGAGTAAGTGGCCTTTAGGTTCGTCAGTTTTTGTTGTGATTCCTTAGGGTCTTTTTTAATTTTTAGTACAGGAACTGATCATTTCTTAAAAAAGAAAACAAAAATAGCTACTTCTAGAATTAATGTCGTTTTTCAGTGATCTGCTCCCATGGAGTCCCATCAATAATAAGCTCTTCAAATTCATCCATTTGTTCTCACTGTTATTTCTTTGTTTCATTTACTCTAACAGTCTAACCCATGCTTAGACAATAATCTGTTAGAAACCCATCTGTATCTTTGTGTACCTTTGAGAGTTTCAGGGGAATATATAGTATTCTACATGTAAAGTCCCTTTTTTAAATAATTACTTGTACAATCTTTCATATATACTTGTATATATATGATCTCATATGGTCTTATATTATGTCTACCCACCCTTTTCGAGTCTTTGGCCTTCCTTTTTTGCTGAGTATACGGGGGCAGGCATATGCTTGTTTTTGGACTGTGCCAGAATTCACTGGCACTTCGACATGTTTGTATGTCAAAGTAGTGAGAGTAAGAAAGTGACTGGCTAGACTGATAGAGCATTTCAAATACTGATTTAAAGTGATATCTACAGATTTATTGGAGGTGAGTTAAACAAGGCATTAATATGATCAATTTAAAACAGATTTAAAATAGTAAATATTCATTTGGAAGAATTGGAATTATGGTTTTATCTTAACAATACAAATCAAATAGCCTAATATCCTTATTGGTAGGCAATTTTTTTATTGGTCTACACAAAATTAATGTACGATCTATTGTCTTGTAGTATATTGGATATGGATTCTCTTGTGAATTTGCTGCTTCTTTTTTTTTTATTTATTATTATTATTTATTATTATTTTTTAACTCTCTGTTTGCTTGGAATGTAATTTGATCATTGGCAATTAATTTGTTTGTCATAATTGATGATGTTTGATGCTGTAATATGTATGCATTAACCTATAAGGTGTTGGTCCTTTTTAACATAAATTTTGCTCTATGGCTCTCTCTTTTTCTCATGTTTATTACAAGGATGGAAGAACAATTCGTGGTCAAAATGAAATATCTCATCCAACCAATGGACTAATGGATCCTGTAAATAAGGTATACAATGTTATTATGGGCAAACTGTTTCTTTTGTTTTTGGAAGTAGATGTGTGCTTTATTAAAATATGTAAAAAGCTTTATCTCAGTGATTGATCAATAAAATGTTTCAATCTTGCCCCTTCCAAAGAAAAAAGAAGAAAACAAAATTGTTAACCTAACAACCTTATATTGGTGGTCGGATGAATATGAAATTTGCTTTATTTATGATTTAGATAGATTTTTTGTCTCTACTTTAATTTCTGTCCCTTGTACAAATAGTTTGAAAACAGAAGAAGCTTTTGTTACATATGCTTAAGAAGCAGGACTGGCTCTTATCAAATGCTCGTCTCATCATTAATAAAATGTATACGCCAGAGATTTCTTTGTTTCTCAGTTCTCTGCACTTCAACCAAAATTAGCATTTTTTCTAGTTAACGGATTTTATATACAAATTGACCTGAATACCTAGACAGAATATCTTAAGAATAAACAGAAGACATACAACGTCAAATAGGCGAGGTTTAGTTAATTTGCGGTCTTGGTTTGATACATTAAGCCAATTAAGGCAGTATTCTTGATGTCTGATAGCACTGGACTTAATTTATTAAAATGCTTATACAGAGAAAGCTGCTGAAAATACCTACTGTAAAAAGTCATGATTAATTTTTTCTGCTATAGAAGACTGCCTAAAACTTATTTTTGTCAACTACTGTTATTTGTGAATAGAATTACTGCTCTGTTCAAGCACTTCCATCAAGAATAAAGCGAGTATTCTACATGTCAAGTGAGGGGCAAAATTTGTTGCATGAGGTAACTGCTACTCTTATTCTACTACATTGCCTGCTTATGAAGGGGATTTCATGTTGGTTCACGGTGATTGGTTCTCAATTTCCATATGATAAACTTTGTGCATCTTTTTATAAAATCTCCCACCCTGACACAAATACACAATTTCTTCAATCTGTGATTGAAACTGTTGTCGACATTCAATTATCCCTGTTTTACATTATTTTGACTAAAAGATTTAACTACTTTGCTGTTAACTTTTGATATTCAACTATTTGCTGAAATGGAAATGATTTTTTTTTTCCAGTAATTTTTTATTATAAGTGGGTCATGCATATCTGAACCATGGAAGTGCAAGGATTTTACTATTGTAATGATATTTACTTGGTATAGGGCAGGTCTTCCCTCCACCAAATCCAGCTGTCCTCGACCAGTTACACAGTGTTAATTGTATCGTTTATGCCATGGGATCTCTTTTTACATCCATCTGCCCTTCATTGGTAAATTATTTACATAAGCTTCAGCTTGTTTGTGATATACTGTCCATTTTAATAACTTAATATACACATACAATTGCATTTTACTGCTGGTCAGTTTGTGGTATTATGTGTTCCAAGTTTCTCATTCAGTATGTATTAAATGCATAGCTGGAGTAAGCCAGAACATGGAGAATCTGCTGCATGTTGCCTCACAATTGAATTTGCGTGATTCCACAATTGATTAAGAACCATGTGTGAGCTTACATGATGCTAACAAATTGTGTCTTGACCAAAAGAATGTCTGATTTTTTTAATGTTATTGTCAGTTCTTACATGGTGTAATCTTTAACTTCCACAAAATGTGGTGGTATATTGGCTCATTTTTTTTGCTTTTTATTTGGTTCCAAGTTCCAACTACATGGAATTCTTGTTGCATTTACCATCTTTCTTTTTTATAAAGTTGGGATGGTGGCTACGATGCTGACAGTCAGCTGTTAATGAACTCACTGATGATACTGATTATTTTATATTAAACATGTAGTCTTTTCTTGGTAAAAAGGACACTAAAAGTCCAGTATATACAATAATTTCCTGTTTCAATGAAAATGCCAGAAAAAGAAGCAATATTCTGCATGGTTATTCTCTTATATGCTGTTGATGACTTTATTTTTAATTTTGGTGTCAGCTTTCTGATCTCTTCTCTTATATCAGGCATTGCTTTATGTAGGTTTTGAATGGGATAGGGGAAATCATTTCCTCAAGGGCTTGTCCTAAGGTATGATTTATCTCAGAATTGATACCTCTTACAACTTGCAGTAATGCAAGAAATCAATGCTTGTGGTTGTGAGATTTTCTGATTAAAGCATTTGCAGTATCCCCCTCCTCCCCCCCCCCCCCACAAGTATTGGTCTATTGGAGTGCTTAACTGTTGATGCTGGCTGTACGTTTTGGTTTAGGTGCTGAATTTTGTTATTTGTGTGCAGATACTTTTGTTAAATGGGACACATGATCGAGAAACAAGTGGATTCTCAGCTTCATGCTTTGTGACTGCAATCACTGATGCTCTAAATAGAACTTATGGAAATTCCAAATATTGCCTTAATAATCTTGTAAGTGTGTGAATGTGTTATACAACATTATTGCATATTATCTTCTCTTGCTTAATCATTCTTTGGTGAAAGTCAAAAGGATGAACCTTACGTATAATTGTTGATCCTTATTTATTTTGTGGTATTAGTACAAGCTCTGTCAATAGGTTTATTTTAAGTTGTTCAACCTTTTCGGTTTGCATATGGCTGCTGTCTAAATTTTGGGTTTCCATCATGGGACTAGGTAGGGTGTTACTAATAGTGAGAGTTGCCACTAAAACTTAATTTTTTCAAGAACTGATTAACTAGGAGAAGTTGGATACTCATATGATATCATGGGACTATGTGGGATTTTACAGAATAATAGGAGATTCCTCTTAAGTTTCATTGTTTTCACTTAAGCTTTGACCAAATTAATATGATAAAAATTACCAAAACTTCCATACTGAGATATTTTCAAATACATGATTATATGCATGTAACAAACTTTCTCTTATATGGTAAGTCTTGAATGTTCTACAAGGTTGTTTTGATCGGATGACTGTGACATTACTATTTGAGAATTAAAATAATTGTTCTGCAGACCCTTGTCACACCTCATCTTGACCAACCATGTCTTTCCCTCAACTTAAAGGAGCATTTGTGTAGGATTTTCATTGATATGAAGTTCTGAACCTTTTCTTGAACAAATTTTTCTCAGTGAGATAAGTATAAAAAAGATTGTTCCCTATAAGTTTGTGGTATCATTTCCATACGGTATCTGTGTTGGTTGAAGAAAATGAAATAAAAATATGAAATTGTGAACAAAAAGAAATTATTTAAAATTTCACTTAGAAGTTCTTGTTCAGTCCTGCTTGATTGGAATCATATATGTTTTCTGAAAGTTCATTTTTGCTGGACGTTAAAATAAACACAAATATGATGTTTTTGGTTCAAAAGTGACTACTTGATCTATAACAACCTACAATTATTTATGTAATATATGATCATATACCCTTGAAAGTACTCCCTTGTAATAATATTGGTTCTTTTGTGCAGCCAAGTGCTTATGTAAATACAATTTTGGTGCCCAAAAATGGTAAAATCCCAGTGGATTTAAATGCCTTGAAGGACCAAGGTATATTAAATGTGGTAAGCTATCTTATATTATTAGAGCATCTTGCAATGAGCACTGAGCACTATGCAAGCACTAAGCAGATTATAGCATTTAAAGTGGGCTCACCTGCAATTAACTGGTTTCTAATTGATATTTCTCCCTCTCCCTCTCCCCCTCCCCCTCATTCTCCCTGCCCCCCAAAAGATGAAGGTGCTTCAAAATCTTGCACACATATGAAGAAGCTGTCCCAGAGTTTATTATGAGTAGATTATTTATCTGAGAGATTTTCAAGATTTGAAAATTCATTGATTTAGATGATACTGTGTGTCATCACATAGTGGGCACCTATCATCAAAGTTGTTTTACCTTTTTTTCTAGCTGCAATATCTTTGCTATTTGCCTCTCCTTTATAGAAGCTGGAAACACTATTTACAGCGAACACTTCCTCCATCAGGAAAAATTAGCTACATATACGTTTTTTTTTTTTTATATGTCCGTAAAATTCCATTTTTTTGCAAAACAGTTGAAGTTTTAAATTACTCTAGAAGATGGTCTTTAAAATATTGAATAGTAGAGAGTGTAAGGATATTCCGAGTATAATAAAAGTTCTTTTAATTGTGTCTTATCCTAAATTACTCCCTCCTTCCCCATTTGTTTGCCCCATTGGGGGTTTTTTTTTTTTTACTGTTTTAATTTTTGGTTGGGTGTAGTTAATGAGACACAAAATTAGTGGGACCAATGTTGTGAAAGTGAAAGGAGTATCAGGAAAACTCAAAAGGGACAGTCCAAAAAAGAAAGTAGGGTAAACGAAAAGAGACGGAGTATGAGTAAAGGGATAATGTGCCTCTATATTGAATAGAATAATTTTGTAAAATTGATTCTGAGTATATGAGGATCCATCACAAATCCATAATACATTGTTTATCATTACTCTATAGCAGGCGACATCTATCTTGCAAAGGTTGCCTTAATGGTGCAGGTTTATGCAGGAAATTTAATCATGAGAAAAATGTTATTATGTGTGGAGTAGTTTAATTTTTTTTGGAGTGGTATGGAGCTTTGTTGGCTCACGGAATCCAAATTACTTTTGCCAGTGCACTTGTATATTAATTGTACATTTATCATCCTGTTTTGCAAAATTGAGGGTTCGAGTCGAGGGTAGCTGTAAGCATGCCAATTACTCATATTTGTTATTGGCTATTGCTGGAATCTGTTTACCTTAAGATCTCTTGCGCAATCCTAGCTTAGGTTTTTATCCTTTCTTTTTTGGCAGGTCACCGTTGATTCATTGGAGGATCCAAAAGTTGGTATAACCTTTGACCCCAACTCATTAATTCAAACATTGGCTGATATACTGAGGCCCTAGCTCAATGTTATGGGAAGTAACATTTAACCCCATTAGTTGGAGGGCTTACTGAGGCATGTATCATTCATCATGAGATTTATAGTTTTATCAAGTCGATGAAAAATAGTTTGCTCATTTCATGTTCAGTGACTCTGCTGATATATCTTTGATCATGACTAATATTTAGGTTGCTATGGCATTGTTTGAGCTGCAAGTTGCTATATTTTGGCATTCAGAGGCAGGGACTTTATTTTTTGGTATGCATTTGAGTGAGAAGCTTTTAGAGAAGGATGAATATATTTTTTGCTGTCCCAGATTTTAACTTGTACGGGTAACAGCTAATCTGGGATCGTCTGAGGAACTGGCAAGCTGTATTGCAACTTTGCAAGCAGTGAGCCAGTGTATCTGCAACACTGTATAGGCTATTCCACGGGAAAAGTGCAACTTTATAAAGTACCATTTGTTGTAATTAGGATGTTCATTCTTTACCTAGAATTCTCATTTACCCTTGATCATCTCTCATTTACCTAGAATTCTTGATGCAAGCTATTAGTTTGCTTGATAGTTGATACGGAGTATATTTGCATAAATGCTCAATTCAGTGATAGGTGATTGTCCTTTGTTTCTCAGTCGATGTAGTTGAATTAGTATGATGGTGTCAAGACGAGAAAGTCTTAATACATCATTGTTAGACACAAACAAATAATACATAACAAAGACAATTTTGTAATAATGACATTTTGAGAGTACTATCGAGAGGCAAAATTTCCAATAGTAAAAAAGACATTCTTAGAAGTACTTAAAAAAATATCTGAGTAGTACTATTAGGTCTTCTAGTAGTATGAAAGGCTGTTATGTAATTTTGCTTGTGTCTAACAGTGATGTATTAGGACTTCCTCGTGTCAAGACTAGAGAAATATTGGAGTTTGGGCATTGTAATAAGACATGTGTTTAATGTTTATATACATGCATAAGGTCCTAAAATGTAATTAAAAAATGCAATTGTATGTAGTTGCATTTTTTATATCCAATGACAAACTTGTACTCTTAAATAATTACGATTTTTTATGGTAATGACTTGCTTTACCATTTTTTTTTTTTTGGAAAAATGGAAGTAAATAATCTCACCTTTTACTGGTCTTCCCAGAACAATCCTACCTTTACCCCTAATCTTCACCTAACAATCCTTATGACCTGTAACCTGTTAAACAAGTTTTTTTTTTTTTTTTTTTTTTTTTTTTTAAATCTCTTTCCTTCCATAGTTGGAACATTCCACATCTGCCTTGGAATGAGGGAAGCATGAACTGACAAAAGGAGAACAAAAAGCTTCATATTCAGAGGACAAGTTTACAAGAAATAGTTTGAGAATAAACCAAGTTTACAGGCACAAAAATATACACCCTTAAATACTCATATTTAAGTACTGACTCGTTTCCCGCTGCTTGGGTTTGTCTTGGTGCAGAGAATTTTGCGTCCCTTTGCACGTCTACACTTTAACACAGCTCTTCCACTAGTGGTGCTCATTCTCAGTCGAAAACCATGTGTCCGAGCCAATGACTTCCTAGATCTGTTCCTCTTGGTTTGACAAAGAGCTGCCTTCCCAGCCCTCACCACGAATCGGTGGCATCTATCAGTACCTACTCCAACGTTTGATGCTAAGTCCAATCCCAAGGACAATCCTGTAATTAACAAAAAGACATTCACAGTAAATCATCCCATTGAATGCAGGCTAATCAGGGATGTGCAAATATTCCATAAAAATTGACATTAACAGTGTAATTCTAAGCAAACTTTGGTCAATTGAGTATTTGAACATTCACTACTAAACCATCGTTTGTGCAAACAGAGAAGCTAATCAATGTGTCACTTCATTTATACAGTTCCAAAAGGCGAAAGCAGACTAGAGAGGTCGAGCTCTTAAACGCTGCTTTAACTTTCCTTATGTCCTAAATGAACCTTCTTATGTACTCGGTACCTCCTTAAGTATCAAAATAATTTATACCTTCATACAGCTATTAGCAACTTGGAAGCAATTTTCTTTTGGGAAAAGATGGCAATTGTTTCTAAGCCTGTCTGAAAACAACACACTAAATTCATCAAATTGGAAACATTGAGATTGATCCAATTGGAAGAGATAATGGATCTGTTATATAAATGAATACTAATACACTAAATTTTCCTCCACAGACAACCTTTTTCTAAGTAGGGTGTGTAATGCAGAAGATTTGTCTGGTATAGCTGAGCTTCCTAGTTAGCTGCCTGTGAGGTTGATACTGAACCATCTCTGGTGGTAAGTAGGACTGTAGAAAACATTTGTTTAGTAAACAAAGAAATCAAATTTCGAGCATCTAAGAAGCCGATCCATACAAACTTTGACATTCACTAAGCAATCACATATTTTTTGTTCCATGAATGAATTGATCTGAAGATGTTTCCTGACCGGCTGGGACACCAGACATCCACCAAGGAACTTACCTCAGAGGTGTCCCTTGAGGAACAGGATCTCAAACAAATATGCTATAATAGCGATTTTCATCCAAGCAAAATGATCAATTGAGGAAAACTCACAAGTCACAACAAAATGCCTCTTTCAAACATACAGTATCATCAAATAAGCCTGTAAACTGATGAATGTGACTATAAGAGTAGTTGATACTTCAGAAGGATTGCATTGCTATTCAAAATTTTGATTGCAACCTGTATTACATTATTACCCAAACTAAGTCCTTCAAAACTTATTATACGACACTCAATCACATCAAATTCATCCAAGAAGAAGGCCATACTCTATCCATCCTATCTACACTAATAAGCAAATAGTAGCTTAATTTTCATCTTATCTTCTATTATCAATTGCAAGAGAAAAAAATGCAATTAATAACCAAAAAAGATGGTTAATTTTCATCTTATCTTCTATTATCTTGTGCATTGCCTAATTCATCGTTTCAAAGTACCCAAAAAAATCATAATAATATCACACTTGCATTACTACATTTTAGGCTAAACCTGTTAAACACACAAAGGTAAATAGCACCTAATTCTCACTATGTGTTATACTTCATATCTTGTTGGTGTAGAGAGAATCACAAATGGCAATGATGTGGACGAGATTCAAGCTTCGATACTACACTAAACTATACCAACTATGCTAGCTGACATCGACTCAACAATACATAAAAAATTACACGCAATTCCCAATCCACAAACAAAAGCGCCCAAAAAAATTTACATACCCATTTAACAAATTATTGGTTAATTGAAACAAATTATAATTAGAAGTGCAAAATAATTAAGAAAAGGCAAGTAAAAACACCTGAAAAAGAGGAAGAGAGAGAAGATGAAGGAGCCAAAAAAGAGCAATGGAGTGACCCAGAACGAGTTGAACCGCCATTAAAGGAAACACCTTTAGTGGGTATTCTTGAACCAGTGAGAAAAGTGAGGGAAGCTGAAGGAGTAATCTTGGTTATGGCCGCTCCTGCACCAGTTGATAGCAATGAAAGCGTCGCCATTTTTGCTATCTCCTTTTTCTTGTTATTGAATTGAAATTTCTAAGTTTCTTATCTTTGCAAGGAGTAAGGATTGTGAAGAGGGAACCTTATCGAGTCTATTATTGCTGGGCTCTGATAAATTTTGTGCTATTGGGCCAATTTTGAAATGGGTTACAATGTGATGGTATAGTCATGTTGGTGTAATTTCTACACACGAATTTTTAGCTACACACTTGTGCAGTTAAGCTAGCTACAACAACCACATATATGAACATATAGTACTTCAAAAACAAACATAAGTTTTTTCAACCCTTCTTTATATTTACCTCTCTCTCTTTTTCTTCCGTACCTCCATTAATTTTCTCTCTCCTCTTTTTTTTTTTTTTTTTTTTTTTCCTTTCCTTATAAGTAAATTTTCTTTCTTACCTCACTTTCCTTCAATCTTTAAACTTCTTCATCCTCCTACTTTGGATATTCTCCAATTCCTCACCATTGTAGCATTCTCCATCATCTTCGTCGCGATCATCACCATTTTCTTTTTCCTTTGTTTTCTACATTATTATGGATTTGGTTGCTATTCAAAAGAGATCATCAATACAGGTTGATTTTTGTGTTGTTGATTATTAATTAGTTTTAACTATGTTAGATTTGGGCTGAATTTGTAATTGATTTTTTTGATTTTATAATTGGTGAATTTCAATTTAAGGAATTTGATGAATTTCAATTGACTTTTTGATGAATCTAGTGAATTAGACTATTTCAACTGAATTTTTTAATTTTTTATGAATATTAATTTAATTAATGAGTTTTTGTGATGAACTATTGAGTTGTTGCATCTTTAATTTGTTTGTTATTATGAATTTTGATTTTTTTAATTGAGTTGCTAATATTTGTGTATAATTTTTGGGAAAAAAATGAACACGGTGTACTTTCAAATTAAACATTTAGTACAATAAAAATGAACATTTATTACATAAAACTGAAAATATTTTAATGATTTATTTTATCTTTATTTTCCCTTAATAATTATATACAATGAATTTGAATTTATATGGATATAAGAAAATCATGTTCATTTTTAATTACTAAATGTTCATAATTTTTTTTCACGTGTTCATTTTTTTTATTACTAAATGTTCATTTTCTTTAATATGTTCATATATTTTTATGAAATTTTCATTTTATTAGGTGTGGTCCAACTCTTCTATTATTGTATGATAAATTCTCACTTTTAATATACTAATGTTTATAATTATTTTTGACATGCATGTTCATTTTTTATTAATAAAGGCTCTTTTTTTTTACGGTTTCATAATTATTTTTACTCTAAATTTTTATTTTTAAGGTCGTGGCCAAACAATTTTATGGTTATCATGTTTATTTTAATACAAAATTATCATTTTTTTAACATGTTCACTTTTTAAGTACTAAATGTTCATTTTTTTTATATCTTCATTTTTTATTACTGAATCTTCATTTATTTTTATGTGTTCATATTTTTTTATGACATGTTTTTTTTTAGACAGTTGTGCAGCTATTCTAGCTGCACTAAGACTTATTGGAAAAATATTCGAGCCAAATTCCAGAAAATATAATCTAAATCCAACTCCAATTCAGAGGTCTTCTTAGACTTCGAATCCAACTCGACAAAATATATACTTATCTTCTCCTCTCTCCTATCTCCTTTTCTCTTCTAGGGTTTATAAATTTTTGGCCGTTTAGGCCGGAAATAGTCTAATTTTTTTCGGAAATTAGACTATTTCCAACCCTTTAATCTTGTTTTTCTATAGCCTTGCATTTTAGGTTTCAATAAATCTACACGAGTTATTCGTCGTCTCCCTATGGTGGAGTCGTTAATTTTTGTTAGTTTAGTTGTTTGTTTTTCATTAGGGTTTATTTGTGTGTCAGGGCTTGTCAAAAAAGTAACCATCCTTTGCCCTATTATCAGTTCGTTGGTAAACTTTTGTTCGGAATCGTAACGGTTGTCGAATTCTCAAATGCATTCATGCAAATCACATAATAATCATTCTGACGACTACAACAAATCGTTAGACCGTCTCTCCGAAAAGGCTGCATTTTTTAGCGATCTGTGCGAAGGATGTAACACATTGCAAGATCTTTTCAACGATCGTAGTTTTGGTAAAGAAAACTTTTATTTGATTCAATTTTATGTATTTGTTAATTTAAATTTCATTTGTAGATGTCGGATGGCTTTTTATTAATGAATTGATTTTGTTCAAATAAAAAAATATATATACTTATCAAGTGGTATATTGTTAGATTTGTCTCAAAATATACTTTTAAAATGTCTAATTTTTTCTTTTAATAGTTTTTTACTAAAATAAAAAATTTGTCAGAAATCACCTTTAAAAACACTTTTTTTCTTTTTTTTTTTGGTAAAAACATACCTTAATTTAATTTTTTTGCGAGACTACACCTTAGGCCGGAGTCCGAGCAATTGACCATATTTCCGGTGTTGACCACCTCACGTGAGGATCACGTGCTACCACAAAACAAAATCCCTTTAACTTACCCCCCTTTTAGGCAAAAGGGGTTTATCCACAAAGAGATTTTACCAATATAGCAATGCAAGGCATGTTTACTTCACCTTATTTTTGTTGAATTGAGCTGATTATCTATTATATTTCTTCTTTGAAATTATTGATTTTTACTAAATTAAACTTATTTAGTGAACTGAATTTATATTTATTGAACTAAAATTATTTTTACTGAATTAAAATTATATTTATATAATATTATTTTTTAAATGTGAATGAACTGGGCATAAGTATGTAACAACTCACAAACAGCTTCAATGAAAAGATCCTAAAATTAAGGAATCAACATCAAATTTTAACAAAACAATAGCCACCGTTATTTTCTATCATTAAATACCAAAATTATTATAATAATGTATAATTGGACTTGGTTTTCAAAAAAAAAAAAATGTATTATTGGACTTTTTCCAAAGTAATCAATCATGCAGAAATGTAACAAATCAATCACACTAAGGATGCAAATAAAACTCAAATTAAAAAAACAAACGAACACTATTTTCAAGAACAATTATAAAAACAACTTTAATAGTTAAAAAAATCTAACTTAGTCACCTAATTTCCTTATTATTTGAAATAATCTACTAATTATAAACCAAAATGAAAATAAACAAACAGGAATTATGCATCCGACTTGTCCACACCATTAGCATCAATAGGCTTTCTGCATAAGATCATATGCATGGGACTAAATATACCAGCCTAGCCGCCACGTGTAAGATATTCAGCGGTCTTACACAACATATCATGCACATCCACCGTTCCTTTTGGTGCAACTCCTAGGGCAGCAAGAACCGTTACCATAATATGGTTCCTCCAATACGCAATCCGACCCATTTTTAGCCGGTTCCACCACGGGTGCTTTGTTGCCAAATCTCTTTCGTCCACCACCTCGAACCCCACCTTTTTTGCTATAGCCGTGATGTCGGTGTAGCTCCTAAGCCCCGGCAACGCGTCCCCTCTCTCGATCCCTTGGATAATGTCACGGTGTTCACTATTGTTAGGATTTAATTTTTTAGTTGTGACCCATTCGTATGACATGTAGAGGGACCCGGGTTTTAAAACCCGAAATACCTCAGTTTACACGTCTTCTAATTTTGGAGCGTGACATGTGGCTTCGATGGAGTACGCCCCATCGAAGCTATTATTATTAAAAGGCATTTCAAGAAAATTACCAAGGACTACCTCACAAAGTGAGTCTAGTCCGGCCTTTTTATTGTGCAATTTAGCACGGTTAACTTGGTATTCATTAATAGTTATCCCAACCACATTAGAGCGGGAGTGGGCAGCTATTGCCCGCATAGGCCCGCCCACTCCGCAACCAACATCAAGGATTTTTTTCCCAGGGGAGACCTTGATTAAATCCACAGCCATCTCTTCATGTAAACGAGTGGCGTCGCGGTGAGACTTTCCGGGGATGGAAGGGGAGAAATGGAAACTTTGTCCCCAACACCACTCGTAAATATCCGTTACGAGGTTGTAGAATGTGTCGACAAAGTCAGGAACCTTTTCAACCGTATCGATCTCCTTAGGAGAGCGGAAGAAAGACCAGTATTGGCGGTACTTCTCTTGGATCTTCTCTCCAGAGATTGCGCCGCCGGTGAGATGGATGAGTGGTTTGCCTTTCTGTTCAGCTGCTCCATGGATGTTTATGAACCAGTAGAGTGCTCTGAAGACGAGGCCGGCTGTGCAAAGTAGTGTTGTGGAATCCATGATGGTGTGGTGGTAGGGAGAAGTTAGAGTGAGAGAAAAATGGAGATATAGAGTATTCCTTATATGAGAGAATAAGAGGAGTTTAAAAAAATAAGGAGAGTAAAATATGGGTGTGTTTAAGACTTATTAAAAAGTCAAATCTGTATACATAAAAAAAATGTAGCCTTTGTTATAGGGGTAAATCTTAGCCTTTCAATTTTGTAGGATTATCTTTTAAATATATTTGTTTGATGACCATGAAATTATGAAAGATAAAGACTTGATATAATAATCGTTTCTTTGATTTAATTATTTTGGTTTGACCATAAAAAAAATTGAAATTATATAAATGATTTATTTGATAACTGTCTTCTTTTTATCATCTCATTGATCACTATCATCATATATTCCTTTAGGATGATTCATTGATTTGGCTATCTAGTTCAAATTCAAAAATTATGTAAAAAAAAAAACATTATTATATTCATTAAGTTGAAGTTAAAGATTATTGATCGACAGAAGAAGTATCCAACTTTAATAAATTCCGAGATCCTAATAATATAAAATAATTTCAATGCCATCAATAATACATGCATGATCAGACAAGGTTGTACAAAAATTCAAAAACAAAACTCGACCTACCCAACAACGTACAAAGTTTTGTAGTTAGTGATGGATTTACCATTCTAATTAAGATTAATATTAATAACAAAACAAATTTCAAGAAAGGCTTGAACAAATCATAGACCTAAAGAGGCAGTATTAAATTAGCAGCTATAAAGTCCATCCTTCTAATGCAATAAAATGAAGCATCCCAAACTTCCACTCAAAAATAAAGTACCCTAAACTCAAGACAATCGATGACAATGAAGTTGATATCAGAGTAGCCGATATAGGAACACTAGCATTGTCCATCCTTAGCAACATGCCCTCAATCACCGGAAAACTCATGATCAACACGTACGATGAGAAGAACACTTGAGCAAACAATGCATCCCAACTTTGATCAAAAATCACTCTTGCTAGTCCACCAACAAAGCAGAAGAGATTTAAGGTAACTACGGTCACAATCGGGACAAGGAACATGTATGATGTACGGAAGTCATACTTGCCAATTTGATACCATTTTGTTGTATCATCATCTTCAACTTTATTGGTAGGTATAAAACTTGCCTCTCGGATTCCCAACTTTGCCATGACACACTCTAGAGTTCCGTAAGCATAGCATGTTACATCTTTTATAATCGATATCCTTTGCTCGTTGAACCAAGAACTTATTGAGCCTCCGCTAAGGCAAATAACCTCATATAGGTGCTTTAGTTGTGATGATATGAAAACATAAGAAAACGCTACGAAGAATGGATCTGAAACCTACATTCACATATATGAGCAATCAAAATGAATAACTAAGATATTTTAGTAATATATGTTAGATTTAATTCGTGTACTTAATTACCTTAGGGTATAAAGGGATTCCATAGAAGAAACAAGTTGGAGGAACAATAGCAAAACATGAAACCGGCAAAAATTCAAGGGACAAGAATGAAATCGATGAGTACAGCATCTGCTGAAAAATATGCATTCTTGATGTACTGTAAAACAGAGGACAATAATTGGACAGACCAAGTTGAAGAAGCCCTGCAGTCCATCTGGATAATTGAATCAGTGCTTGATCCAGATTCGTTGTAGCGGAACCTAAGAACTGAGGCCTTGATGGATTCAAGTAAACAGACCTCCATCCTTTGCTTTGTAGGATAAAAGAAGTCATCACATCTTCCACCACTGACTCGTAGTTAAACCCAATCTGCACACGACGACAAACCCACATAGCATAGCTTTGTCAATCAACAATTGAGCTTAATTATGTTACTAGATTTTCTACATGTATGTAACATAATGAAAGAATTCAATACATTTATCACATCTATGGAGTACTATAAAAAAAGTTGTTTGCGCAAAATATTGGCATATCATAACAAGTTGGACAGTGTGACAACTGATTCCGAATGGATGTAAATTTAACATGTAAAGATGGAGTAAAATAAAATGTCTATGCTTTTTGAGTTTTACATTTTACGCTGACATATAACTTGCCTTTTTACCCCATTGTGTGCTCTCTTCATAAGTGCAAGAGGCTAAGGATTGAGCTTCTTGTAGATAATCAGAGGAAATTTGCTCTTCTTTGATTGCATTTGGTTTGCAGCTTTTTACAAGAGATTTAAGGAACTCATTTGAAGGACCAAAAGTCTCTTTCAGTTCTTTGATGTCATTACCTTTAAGAAATAAACAATAATGTCATGTTTTTGAACAATAATGTACAAATTTTAAATAAGACTGTCTTATCATCATAAGACCACCTTGTGGTATAGATGGGTTTTCCTATAATGGTAAACAATATTCATGAATTTTAACAAAGTAGAGGAAATTAAAAACGAACAAACCATGGTTTACATCGATGTCTGCGCCAAACAAGGCCTTCCGCTTAATGTAAAAATTTGAACCAGATAGAGTTGGCCCTTGAAGTCCATCCATCCCTGACCAAAGCACCTAAAGTATACCATTGAACTTGATTAAATTTATTTTTTTTTAAAATTCAGAAACACAACTAATTAAAAAAAACTCGCTCCTTCCTTTCTCTTTTTGTTCCACTCAACATATTATGCAGTTTCCAATTTACATGTTTGACTAACTATGTCCTACATCAAGCAATATGCCAATAGTGTAAATTATGTAAAGTTATTATTTGAATTCTACACATTAAAATGGATCGATCTAACCGTACACAATACTGGGGTACAACATGTAAATTACAAAATATGGTCATAGACAGCTTTTTTAATTTGACTCCATGAATTGTAAGTGGTCAACAGAACCAAAAAATCAAGGGAGCAATTAAAAGGTAAATTTAGATCGATGTACTTACCGGCCATGCTACTCTCATCTGACTGTCATAGATGTCACTGTGACTGATGTTATGGAACTTTTGAGGATATTGAACCCAACCTAACGAAGAAGAACTCTTTGGATCAAGGTGAAAACACATTGCTTGGCGTGCCGAAATCGGGTCATTGCAGTACATGTCGCAGTCTAGGACTAAGATATAGGGAGAATTACTGAATGTGCTTGAAACCCTTAGCTTTAATTCATGCACAAACACACAAAGTTTGTGTAAAATGCATTGATATTGTTATTATAATCATGCAATAAGTAACAATTCTTATGCAAGTATAATACTATAGTTTACCAGAGAATTAAGAGCTCCAGCTTTGAAGTGATGTGGATGAGTAGGTCTTTTTTCACGAGCAAGGTATACAAGTGGAGGCATTGGGATACTTTCTTGATTTATTGTTGCAGCATCATCTTCTAAAATATTCTCATTTATTACCTGACATGTAATTCCAATTTTTCTCCAAATTAAGATTTATAATTTGTGAACTTCGTCATGAAATTGGAGATAAACCATGTTTCAAGCAGAACATCAACCATGAAACCAAAGAACAATAAATGTAATACAAAATATCATGAACCCCGATGAACATATAACATCATCTTAGTTATATATAAGACTTATGTTCATTGGAGTTTTCTTTAGTTTTAAACTTGATGTTCAACGAATGCACTATAAATATGGCTCCACTGTCATATTTTCAAAGTACAAGGGCTAAATGGTAAAAAAAAAAAAAAAAAAAAGAAAAAAGGAGGGAGCCCCAGTTCCTCATCATGAGGAACGCTTTTGCTCCTCATAATGACATTTTGGAAAATAATGTGATGTTTTTTACTAGTGGAGACCGCCTGTCAATTTTGGGTGGACCTCTCTGCTCTTGACACATACTCCATAAGGAACAAAACTTGTTTCTCACAGTGAGGAACAGGGAATTACTCAAAAAAAAGGGATAAAGTAAAACCTGTATAAGGGCTGGATGATCAAATGAATTTCCCTTAGCATATTTATCCTTCCAGTTGACCACTCGCTGCTTGAAACTCTCATATTTATCCTACATACATATCATCATCATCATCATCATATAATCCTTTTGATTAGTGAAGAAACCTTATAATTATAATTAACAAAAAATAAAGAACTAACCTTGATTATATTTCTATCTTCAATAAACTCCCTACTTTGACTTACTTCTTGTGAATCCTCAAAATAAGCTTGAGGACATATTTGCTTAATATTATACCTCTTACAAAATGGTAACCACCAAGTCGCGAAAACCCAAGCCTCTTTCATACCATTTAAAGTAACAGATGCACCTCCATCATCAGATAAATAAACACTCAAACTTTCACTAGGATAATCTAAGCACATAGCCGATACAACGGTGTTCATAACCTTAAATGTAGGCTCTCTATTATGATCAGTAGTACATATGAAAACGTCGAGTCCAGGTAATTCCTCATCCTTAGGCAACTTCTCGGGAAAGACCGTTCGAGTAACTGGCCGCCAGTAAAAGGGTTGCCTGAGAATCCACATGAATGAGAACATAACCTCGGTTGAAAATATAACAATCCATGGCAACATAGGTACACCATTTTTGTTGACAAAAAAGGCTGTTCTATAGTAGAATATGGCTATTAAGGCTATTATATGAAAAATGATATATGTTCGATTAAGGATTGCTCTTAGTTTGTAAACATGGCAATGGTGAAGAGGGTGATTTTGAGAGTTCGCCATTTGATTAGATTTTCAAAATTGGAAGAACATGAGTATTCTTAGCTTGCTCCCTAGATAGAGATTTTACTGATATAATAAGGATAGATGCCAAAAAAATAAGAATATATAATAAGGATAAATATGAAGAACAATTCCAAGATTAACAACTTTATTATCTCGAAAAAAAAAGAAACCTTAATAATCAGCAAAACAACTTTGGAAAGTTGAACGAACTCATCAAGTCCAAGTTTCAAGTATCATGTTAATTTTGTGTAGGAATTGTTTATTATAAGTTCCGTACCGTTCGACTAACGAACTCTAGACAGAACAAAGCGAGAAACTAGTGAATGAGAAAATTATGGGGTAACAAATTTACTTGGAGTTACACTACAACTAATTACATACTCTTATAGCGTATATGACTCAAATCACAACTATCAAATGATCTAGTTTGGGGAAAAAAATAAAGGACAGTGAGTTTATTAATTTTTCTTATTCTTTTATTGAACTTAATAACAACATCTCAAACGGTAAGTTGTAAGATACTGCAGCTTACCTTGCCCGTCTACTTTTAAACAACAATACTTTCTAGATACAAAGTATTTTAAATTGTAAGCTTTAGACAATAATGTAGCTTGACAACAATTTTAAATATACGAAGTATAATATAAATTTTATGTTACATATGTTACACTTTAAGGCCCCGTTTGGTTTTGATGTTAAATGTTTTTATGGAAAATGATTTTCCTTTTTTTTCCCCATTTTTCTTTTGTTTGGTTTGTGAAAGGGTGGAAATCAATTTTCGGTTTTCCCAATAGGCCAATGGTGGAATATTGTATCTTTAATGATGGAAAACATTTTCCTTTACAAAACAACAGAAGCCACATTTTCCTTCCTCATCCTTACCTCATTTTTACTTCCCACTCATCCATCCTCACATTGCCACTCCTATTTTTTTTATTTCTGAACTTTTCTTATATGCAACCAAACAAAGGACAACTAATTGTATTTGTGCTTTTTCTTGAAATATGTTTTCCATAGAAACTATTTTTCATTGAAAATGTTTTATATCATACCAAACAGGGCCTAAGTAAAGCTAGGTTTTTTTATTCTTTAATCAAGTTAGTATGTAGCTAGTTTAAGCTACAATCTGGAAGTTACAATTTTTTGTTAATTGAATAAGGTCTTAATTAAATAAGGTCCTTATCAGTAGTTTCAGTACCTTTGGAGTTGCTCTTCTAAACTCAACCTTTCAATGAATGAACAAATTTCATGTTTCCTCGAATTATTCCATTTTTTCTCTGATGATAACTAATAAAAACAAACATTATCGACAAGCCTTTATATCCATTGTATATAAGGCTTGCATGTTTGGTGAATAATTGAACTCTCTATTAGTTTGCACTCTCTCTCAAACAAAAAAAAAAAAAAAAAAAAAAATAATAATAATAATAATAATAATAATAATATTAAAGCTCTCAAGTTTCACAGTCAAGCAACAACAAAGTATCTTCCTTGATGTCTCTGTTTGCACTTGGCCTGTTGACAGTGATCATAATTAGCATCACAAATCTTCTGCTTTACAAATGGTGGAAACCAAAACACAAAGCCAATCTCCCACCCGGTTCGATGGGATGGCCTCTTATTGGTGAAAGTTTTCAATTTTTTAGCTCTAATACATCCTTTGACATACCTCCTTTTGTCAAACAAAGGATGATCAGGTATATATGTCAACGCAAACACTAAGTTTAGTATTACTTTCTCCGTTTTAGTAATATTGCATCCTTTCTAAATGACGTACTCCTTCCGTATTTCATTACTAAACTATGTAAGAATCTCTCATATTCATTCATTAACATATCCTGTGACTGTCATATTCAGGTATGGTCCAATTTTCAAAACCAGTATAGTGGGTAACCCACTTATAGTGTCTGCAGATCAAGAGCTGAACTACATCATATTCCAGCAAGAGGGTCAATCTTTTCAAAGTTGGTATCCAGACACATTCATTGAAATCTTCGGACGCCAAAATATTGGTTCCCTAGATGGATTCATGTACAAATATCTGAAAAACATGGTGCTGAGTCTGTTTGGTACAGAAAGCCTAAAGAATATGATATCTGAAGTTGAAGTTGCAGTACTTAAACATCTACATCAGTGGTGCAGAATGGACTCAGTTGAGCTCAAAGATGCAACAGCGAGGGTAATTAATTAAATTGTCATAACCAAGCAAGGGTTGGTGTAGTTGGTTCGGGATTCTCCTTGTAACCTTGAGGTCACAAGGTTGAATCATCCCAGCTACGGTACTTGGGGGTGAGGATTCTGAGGACCCCTTACGGCCTTACCCTTCCTCCTCACTTCCAAGTGTCTGGACCAACAAAACCATGTGGGTTGAGATCTAGTCCGCACTAATAATGATTGTTTAAGTTTATGTCTTGTATTATGTATGCAGATGATATTTAATCTGACAGCGGAGAAGCTAATCAGTCATGATCCCGAAAGCGCTTCAGAGAATATAAGGGAGAACTTTGTCGATTTTATGAAGGGATTAGTATCCTTTCCCATAAACATTCCTGGCACAACATACCACAAGTGCTTACAAGTAATTTTGCATTTCACAAAATCTATTTCAAACAAATCTTCCAACTAATAAACAAAATAAATAAATAACTTTGAAAAACTTAAATTTTTATTATAAGGAAGAAAGAAGGCAATGAAAATGTTGAAACAATTAATTCAAGAAAGAAGGATGAACCCAAGAAAACAGAACAAGGACTTTTTTGATTTTGTCCTAGAGGAGTTATCTAAAGAAAGAACCCTTCTAACCGAGGGGATTGCTTTAGATCTTATGTTTGTTCTCCTCTTTGCAAGCTATGAAACGACATCACAGGCAGTCACATTAGCTATGAAATATCTTACAGACAACCCTTTAGTGCTACAAACAGTGACGGTATGTAATAATCTTACCATTCTATTTTTCACCTTAATCTAATTGAATATTTAGACATACCATTATAAATTCACACGTTGTCAAATGAATTAACAGGAAGAACATGAATCAATTCTGAAGAGTAGACAAAATTTGGATTCTCAACTCTCATGGAAAGAGTACAAGTCAATGACTTTTACTTTTAAGGTTTGTTAAGGCCTCCTAATTTATTTGTAACATGTTTTAATTTCCATCACTTTAATATATGAAAGCCTAATAAAATATACTTCGTATTAGATTGGCTGAATTTAATGTTTTATTTGCAGTTCATCAACGAAACAGTAAGGCATGGAAACATAGTTCCGGGAATTTACAGAAAAGCTCTTAAAGATGTCAGCTTCAAGGGTATGTTTCTGAAGTGCTTTGTACTTTGTTCAATTAAATTTTGTGAGATTTATCATAAGTCAATAACTAATTTGCATGCCTAATATGTATGTTGGCCTTAAAACACTACAAACAATAGGTCACATGTTCAAGTCTACCTACCTCCGTTTGTAATTGGATAAAATGTACTAATACAATGCTAAACTAAACTCTGTTACACAACTTAAAATATCACCGAATATCCTTTTCAACATAATTATATATAATCATTCAAGCCCTACTTTTCTTATTGGAAAATAAGTCAAATCTATACAATTCCTGAACATACATGTTTAAGGCTAGTTGATTGGTTGTACTTAGGCTATACAATTCCGGCGGGTTGGGCTGTGATGGTTTGTCCTCCAGCAGTACACTTAAATCCTGATATTTACGAAAATCCCCTCGACTTCAATCCATGGAGATGGGAGGTACGTACCATACATGCACCAAATTCTTACTGTCATTTCTTAGGAAGATAACAACAATACAAATAAAGCACGAACTATATTGGCATACAGGGAGGAGAAATAAATGGAGCATCCAAACATTTCATGGCTTTTGGAGGAGGTATGAGATTTTGTATCGGTGCAGATTTTAGCAAGGTACAAATGGCTGTGTTTCTACACTACTTAGTTACCAACTGCAGGTAAAGGCAAACTTATACTTGTATATATAATCCATTCGTCTTTATAATAAGTTTTAAAGTCCATATCGCGTTTGTAATTTCAGGTGGCAGCAAATAAAAGGAGGGAACATACTTCGGACTCCAGGCTTACAGTTTCCTGATGGCTTTCATGTTCGTTTTTCTGCAAAGAGTTCATCGGTTAAAGGGCAAATTTAGAAATGCACTATGAATTCAGTACGGAGTATATGTGCTACATATTACTTCTTATAAATCAGCTATTGATTTGATTTTATGTAATTACATATAGGATTTTTGTTTTAATTGAATTGTTAATATATAAAATAAAGTACGTCTCAATTCATTCTCCTTGGCTAAAATTAGCAAATAACAAATTTCACCTAATTAAATTATTATCCATGAAAAATAATATGATCTTGGTGATGCAATAACTAGGTGGAATGATAGCAATTGCAAATTCTGCTCTTACCTGTAATATAAATTCTAATATTTCTTTCAATGTTGTAATAATCCTACTAGCTAATAAAACAACCCCTTCTATAATTCACCATTAATCTATTATAGCCTTTTAACACACACACACAAAAAAAAAAAAAAAAAAAAAAAAAAAAAAAAAGGCATTATTGCAGATAGGTAATACAAGTACATACTTTAACTTACTGTAAAGAAACATAGTTAAGAACCGGAGGAATAATTGTACCAATATAAGATCAATTATATTTTTTTATTGTATGTTAATATCTTAGGTATATATGCGTGAATCTCTCAATCATCATCCTCCATTTCATGATCCTTCAAAAGCCAAGAACCATCAAGTTGTTGTACCATACCCTTGTATTTAAGAACCCACCATTCAATAGGAACAAGATATTCATCTTTCAAACAATCAGAGGACTTGTTCAATAGTGCGACATCACGTTCCACAACCAACTTAAACCCTTCTCCACCCCCTCGAGTCCCTGCCACACCGTGCATATAAACCTCAAGGTTATGTGAAACTGAAGGAAGCCCCGGGTTTTTCAAGTAGGCCGATTGTGTTGTGTTGATTATTAACTCCTCGCCGACATCAGCATAATTGATTGGTGGATAGTTAGGAACAAGATCTTGAATGTTCCGAACACGCAAGATTCTAAGGTCATCGTATTTTAACAATGTTTTCTTAAAGTTTGCATCTCCAACTCGAGGGCAACCAAATACTATGGCTGTTACTATGCAAGGTTTGGAATTCGGAGAGTTTTTTGGTTGGTTAATTTTGTTTGCGACGATGTCAGCTGCGTTCAATGTTGCAAGAGCGGCGCCTAGACTGTGGCCGGTTACTGTTATGCTGATTTCTTCGTCCTTGTATTGCTCCACAAGCTTTGTAAGCTCTGCTAGAACCTGAGATATGGATATTAATTATGGTAAAAATATAAATACAATATATAGTTGTACTTGTACTAGACATCTAAGCTAGATCGCATAGATTATACGTGAACAAATTATAGTATATTGAGAAATAGGGATAGTTACTAGTTAGAGACTTAGATCTCTAATGACTTAGCGAACAGTAAGAGTGTGGATCATTTGCCAATTTGGTGATTGCATCCGATCCACAACTTTTCTTCCCGCCGGTTCACTATTGAACTAGATCTCTTGTGACATTTGGTTGACACAAAACAAAAAAAAAAAAAAAAAAAAAAAAAAAATACCCATTGAAAGTTGAAGTTCCTGTAAATTGAATTTTTTTTTGTGGTGTTTGGTTGACAAATTATGTATGGGAACTAGAAATTTTATGAATTTTCATTTTCCATAAAATGGAGGAATTTAAATACCTAGTGAGACCTAATTGGAATTTTTCATGGGAATTGTTACTTTCCATGTTTAACCAAATACTTTTTAGACTTTTATATAAAATTCAATTACATGGGAAATTAAATTTTTAAAAAATTTGCAATTCCTACATTATACCAAACGAGCCCTAAATATTTTGTGGAATTACATAAAAGTAGACTTTAAGTGAATTAAATAGGGAAAATAAAGGAAATAATAATATAATCGGTAAATTTAATTGGGGACCATTTTTAACCAAGAAAATTTCCATTTAAGAGCGTCTTTAAATATAGTTGTCAAAAGCTGACCCGATCCGAAAATTTTACCCAAACCCGATCATGACATGACCTGTTTGAACCCGAGAATTGGTGACCCAAACCCGATATGACCCGACCTAAAACCAACCCAAGACTCGAGTTAACCTTAGGATTCGTGACCCGAACCCGAACATGATCCGACCTGAGATGATCAGACCCGAACATAATCCGTCAACTATTGACCTGAACCGAATCCGACCCGAACTCGAGATTGACCCAGACCCATTTTAACATGTTGAAACCCGAAATCAACCCGACTTGTGACTAACGCGACCCGAATTCAACCCGACCTGTTATTAATCCGACTCGAATTCAACCCGATCTGTTTTTACCCCAACTCAAACCTGATGTAATCCGACTCGAATAGTAATGCAATTAACTCTAATTGACCCGAACTGAGCTAACTCGACCCAAACACTCAAATTGACAAATCTACCTTTAACTTTGCTTACAAATTGATTCCTTAAATCAACTTTACCACATCACCACATACATATCTTAACTCTTATACTCTTCTCTAATATAACTAGTAATCTAGTTTAGCACATTAATGCTTTAAAATGTTTTCCTCAATGAAGCTAGTTAATTGAGAAGGATTGTAATCTGAATCATAAAGCTAATAATAAAGAATGGAGTATTAAATTGGCACAATCAAATTAATGTTATTACCTTATATTTGATTTATCGAATTTGAACTTATATGAAATTATTTATACTAAAATAAGTGGAAAAAACAAATTGTAATATAAACTTATTAGTTCGAATATGAACTTATCTGAAATTATTTCTCTTACAACAAATGAAGAAATTGATAATGATTAAACGTGAACGTCAATACCTGAACTGTTAACAACTTGACTAGAAAAAATGTACCCGAACCCTGATATGATCCAACCTGAAATCAACCTGAAACCCAGATTAACCTAATATTTGAGATCCGAACCCGAACATGACCCCACTTGGAAATGAACCGACGTGATTATAACCCGTAAATTATTGACTTGAACCGAACCTGATTCGGACTCGAGAATGACTCTAACTTGTTTATTTTAACCCGTAAAAACCCGAATTAAACCCGACCCTAAACCGACCTGTTATTGACCCGACCTAAACCCGATAAGATGTATGACCCGATGTGACCCGACTCAAGCATGACCCAACCCAAACCTGGCCTGCATAGGTTACGACATTAACCCAAATTGACCCGACCCGAGTTGACTTGACCCATACTAGCCCGACCCATTAACCCAAATTGACAGCTCTATCTTTAAAGCATAAAATTGAAGTCCACTTTTGGACGAACTGCTTAAAAATGCAGCTAATAAGTATGTTCTTGCTAAAAAGACGTAGCTTGTGAACTTGATCATTGACTATTTTTTTATAGAATATTGAGAAAAACCAGAGCAAGGATGTACGTAAATTTCAATCTATGCTATGTACGTAAATTTCAATATTGAGAAAAACCAGAGCAAGGATGTACGTAAATCTTAGCCACCGCAACTCTAATAACGAAAACTGAAGCCACGAAATCACACTCTCAATTAACTTTTAAACAACTAATAAGGGTACATTTTAGTATTGATAAGTAGTTAAAGGGCACGGCTTAGAAACTTGAAAAAGCATGGGTACACCTTAGAAACTCGACTACCTTAGGGGTATAGCTTAGAAAAACCCTTAATTTTTTTACTAGACCCACATTTTAAATTAAATTACTACAATATTTGGGAAAGAAAACCACTTTGTTATATCAATTTATATGCCACTTTGTTACATGCATGAACTACCATACAATTCTACGAGGTAGCTAACTATATAACCAAAATGGCATGCTAGTTTTATTTCGGTCATTATAGACGATGTGTGGCTTTTGCTATTATAACAATTACAATTACGTTACTCTATATATTATAGGATTTAACCCTTATCTCAAAATAGTTTGAACACTTGACTTTTTTATCGGTCATTTTTAGTATTTTTTATTTTGTAAAATTCTCACAATTATTTTAGTATATATATTTTTTTTTCACTAACCTGGTCTCTTGCACTAGTCTTGTCAAAAGGCAACGATATATAATTCTTTGTAGTATAGATGGAATGCCACCCTTGATGCACCTCAGGCTCATTTTCATCTCTTTCATGGCCAAGAATATCAGATGCTGAAACTTTCAAAAATTGAAAATCATTTAGCCACTCTAAGAATTGTAAACTCCCTCTCCATGCCACTACAATCTCCCTTCTTCCCAATAACTCTACAGACTCATCATCTGCCACCGTGATATACCCAATGAAGTTCGTATCCTTGCTCCATGGCTCTATAGACGATAATGGCTTAAACAAGAAGGCATCAGGCATTTCTATCCCTGAAGTTCCATAAAAGAACTTGGTGACGCGGTACTTGTAGGGATGACCAAATTCAAGACCTAACTTGGCAAAGAAGTTTTTCTTATTAAAACGACTAGCACCCGCATATTTAGAGTATTTATCTCGTATAAACGTGTCATAGGTTGCCTGAGCCATTTCTCCATAGTAGATGATGATTCTTCGGAGATCCTTGTCGAGTGGTCGAGTAGGCCTTCCCAATGATTTTGGCCCGCCAAAATTTCCCATCTATTGGCTATGAAACCATCATCGGAGCTCGAGTGGTGGCTGGTGTTATTAGGTCGCCATTTAGGAGGAGTAGGGACTTTGGAGGTTTTTTTGCGAAATAAACGTTTGACAAAGGAAAACATATATGATCAGTTTGATTTTCCTTGCGTTTGTAATTTTGTATTGTTGTATCGATGAATTTATATACAGCCTGCTATTCTAACATAACTTTGGCTAAATATCTATAGCCTATAAGCTAAGCCTACGATAAAATAAGCTAAATATAAAGATAATACAATAAGCTATGCCTAAGATGCAATTAAAAAAAAAGCCTCAACAACGTGATAAGTACAAACTCTTAAATACACCTAGTTCATAATAATTTGTTGTGTACAATAGTATTAGAGACATCATGGTCGTTTTATTTTTATTTTTTATTTTTAAAAAAGTCACTATGTTAAAATAAAAGTTATAACGTTAAAATAAAAGTCATTGTGTTATTATTAAGGTCATAAGAGGGTTTTATTTATTTATTTATTTTTTTATGAAATTTTTAATATAATGGTCAATATGAATAATGAAGGTAATTATGTTCAACATAACGACGTACTTCAAGTTCACATTAATAATTAAGATCACACAAATTTTAATAAAGATTATGATATTATAATTAGGGTTGCTATGTTTAATATAACTAATGTTAGTGACGCATGTATGAACCTCAGGTCCACAATAATATTATTGTGAACCAGATCCACACAAGTTTTTTATCGTGATAAGCTAATAAGGCATAGCTAGCTTAGGCATTTTCTTAATAAAGAAAGGAAAAATCGTACCATGCTCTCTAAAATCTATATTTAGGTCATTT